ATAAGCGCTACAAAAGGCCAGCTTTAGAAGGATGTGTGTACGCCGGAAAAGCTAGACACCAGGTGTACAATCTTTTGAATTAAGAAGTTGACACAATGTCTTGGCAACTCCCTCTCCAAAGCTAAGAATAGCACAGGACCCAAAAATCTGTTTACCAGAGGATAACACCCCCTAAAAAGGCTCCACCAGCTCTGAACCTCAGAACTCCCCCTCTCCACCAATATATCTGAACAGTGACGATATAAAAATATAATCTATGCCGGTATCATCAGTTATGAGGACAGGCATTGCCTACGATGATGTTTTTCTGTTAATCATATATGAAAAAGCAGTGTTTGTATTATGTTTGAGAACTAGACAATCGCGTATTATTTGATATTGCTTTTGAATGCAAAGAGTGCTTCCTACAGTGAGTGTAATTATGTGAGTGCATTATGGGTTGTTTGTAGCCTTAATGCCGCTAGGCTAATGAGCATCTTCAAGTTTGTTTATAGTGCGCGTCTAAGAATTAGTCAGCCCCAAAAACGTTTCATTTGTGTAGTTTAACATGCAGGAGCCTCTGAAGGATTGTGCAGCAAGTTGCTGTAAAGGAGGAAATACATTCATGACTGAAAACCTCTTTACTCCAGAATCACACCGGAGACCAAATCATCTGTAAACAGTGAAGAATGACAACAGTCACAGATGATGAGGAGCTCAAAGAATGATAACTACTGGAGAAAAAAAATGTTGACCTCTTCTTCTTCAGCCTGACAGGAGAGTGCATGAGACTGATACACAAATTCTGCTTTAACAGGATTCTTTCATTTTATCCTATAATCAAGGCCGTCTAATGTACAATACAGTAGGTTTTTTCTCTATTAACTGATCTTAGATCAAATGGATTACATGAATTCTCAATCTGTGAAAAAGGTGAGAACCAACGGTTCCTAACATTCACTTTTTCCTGCCTCTGAAAATTGACTGCTTTTCTCAGTTTTATATCATTATAAAGTGAAAGTCTGACTTTTTAACTACTGCTCAGGCAAAACCAAATAATATGAAAACCTTGGGCTCAATGAATTTATGATGTGACCTTTCCACTATTTTGTGAAAATGTTTGGGCTAAACAGTCAATCAGTTCATAATAAAAAGAACAGATTAATCAGTAATGAAAAGAATTTTTAGTTGCGGCCTTGAGATGCTGCTTTCTATATCATTTAAACTACTTGTGCATGGGTGGGTTCCAGTGTGACGAAACCCTTAATGTCTGAGCACCAGCAGAGCTGCAGCCACAGAACCATCTAGAAGTGATGCCAGGCCAGCGCAGCTGTGCAGCACCCAGTAGTTAGGCCACCGCTGCGCAGGGTTATTGAGGACACACAGGGCCGTGTTTCTCATTTAATGCACTTGTGTCTATTCTCTTCATTTCCGCAGAAACATGAGTTAAACTTGAGTGTGTTTTTTGCTGCCATGTGGATTTTAAGAGGGTAGATTAAGAAGATTTGTTTTAATTTTCAAGAGATTCAAACAATGTATTTAAGCCCAAATTATACTTTCAGACTGTTCACACAGGCAGACACTAGGGATGTCCATGATTAATTGATTATTGCCATTAATAATTTAATTGTTTAAAAAAAGTGCAGTGCAACTGTCAGAAAATGTACCACAGTTTGTTGTAGTACCCAGTTGTGCCACTCGGCGATGCCATATCTGACGACATGGAGTTACACGTGTGTTATAAAGCAAATTATAAAGCAAACACACCTGCTTGTCTTTCTATGGCCACTGTGGCAGTCGTGTTGATGAACACTGCAATGGCGTTGTTGTCTGGCAGCTGTCCAGTTTGACTAGCTATCTGAAGCTCATGCTAACGCCAAACTACCATCTTCAGTTGCTCAGATAAAGCAGGTCAGGAACTGAGAGTCACACAGCAAGAGCACCGCTGTAGCTGCAGTGTTCATGTTTCTCTATATAAAGAAGCTTCAAACACAAAAGTGATGAACTGCACAAGTGACATCTCCTTGCCTTAAATGTAGATGCATTTTACAAGTGTAATTCATAAATTGTTAAAGATTAACCAACTAATGAATGTTAATGTAGCCGACTTTCTATTAAGGAAATTGCGTCAAATAGCTGACACTCGCTGTAGTATAAACAAAACAGCAAATTATTTTGGTCAATGTCAGAAGATAGTTGATAGTAGATACCTGCCATTTAATCATTTGATTTAAAAATTGTCAGGAAATACTTGTTTTGTCCAACCTACAGTGCAAAAGACAAAAGGTATTTAGTTTACAATAATATGAAACTGAGAAAAAACAGGATATCTTTGCATTTTTAGTAGCATTTTTCCTTGAAAACCAATTTATACAACGAATCGATAATAAAATTGTTTATTGAGCTAATCGTTTCTGCTTTAACTCATTCCATCATATGGTAAATAGGCTAAATGTAAACACAAAGATCACACAAACACAACCTTCTTGTCAAAATGCATCTGTAGCATGTAGATTAATTCTGAAGAGGGGAGAGAAACACAAGGCAATGTTCATGTCAAGTGCTGTAAATAAACACCAACAGACATGTCTACTTTAGGACGCTAAAGGTAATGTCAGTTTTATGCCTTCAGCACCTTTTATGCATAAGAGAAACAGGACAAAATACTGTATCGATGCTTTGTGCATCACACCGGTGCTGTGCCACCGCCTTGTATTTGTGTTGAGCAGTCTTATATAAGCTTAACAGCACTGCACCACTCTTTCCATTTGTTTTCATTCTGACTAAAGCACATGTTGATATTTGCCCATGTGGTTCAGATTAATTAAAAGATAAATTAAAAGCCCTTAATGTGTATTCCCATGCATATATATCTGGGTGATAATAATCTTGATTTCGCCTGGAATTAATTCTGTGCCTTCACTGAGATTTGATAATAGCTTTATTAAAAGTCTCGTATGGTGCTCAGCCAGCAGAACACACCGGAAAATAATGTTCTCAATGGAGACGTAGAGGAGAGAAAAACACTCCAGGGATACCAGTGTATCAGTGTAATGCCACAGTGGCTTTACTGCCAAATGTGAAAGAAGGAGCAGGCTCTGTTTATATGCGTGTGTGTGTGTGTGTGTGTGTGTGTGAGAGATTGTGTGATGGGGGTTGTGGAGAAATTGGTTTATGGGTTTGACAGACATTTAAGGGGGCATTTGGTCAGAGGAAATGACAAGGAGAGCTGATGTTGACAAGCACGAGGTGGCAGGCCTGGCATTAGGCCCACCAAGCAGCACATAAACTCACTATTCAATTTCATGGCCGCTGTTTTAATGGGGCACTACTTCACTTCAGAAGTCCCCTCTTTGAACAAACAATCTGTAACTGACTACCGCTCACTTCGAGCTGCAAGTCTTCAGTGCCAGAACAATACTACAGTCTCTGCCATCAGTTCCAATAGACTCCCTATAAAATTACTACCCTCCTACCGCAATTTCATCCTGTGCTTTAACTGTTGGTTATAAGATTTGCTTGGCGGCAGGCACAGCATGGTGCTCACTGACAGAGTCGTATGTTAACCAGAGGAGCTCGAAAATTGGACAATAAATATGCAAAATTAAAACGTATCTGGTGAAAAAGGAGCATGTGGTATATTTAAGGGCCATTTAAAAAGCAGTGATCCGAGAGGATGCATACACATGGTTCATGTCCTGCTGTGAAGCTCCTTGAGGTCTGCCTTAACACACACCTTTGGTTTTCATTTCCAAAGAGCTTTTCAAAATCTCTCTCTCTCTCTCTCTCTCTGTTCGTTTGAATTATTTGTTTTTGATCTTTTATTTGTCATGTTTGTTACTTGCAACCTTTTTTTTTTTTTTTTTTACTCTATATTTTATTTGATCAGTATCGAGTTACTTTCAGCTAGTATTTTTTTTTCTCCATTTTATCCTTTTTCTTTTTTCTTTTTTTTAACTTCAAATTTTTTTTCATTTTGTAATTCATCCTTTATCCAGGTTTTTCTTATTTAATTTTTTTTTTTTCTTTTAATCTATTTTTACATTCTTCTTATTGTTTTGTTTCTTTTTAATCTCCCTTCTTTTTTTTGATATCTTTTGATCTTTTTTTTTCTAATTTTACTTTTATTTTCGTGTTTTGTGTATCTTTTTTTTCTCTTTGATTTCTTTCTTATTCTCTTCCGGCCCCAAATTATATCATAATATCGATATTTCAAAGTCTTAACATCGTTCATTAGCGCAAAATCTTTAGATCTATTACGAAGTTCGATGGTTATTTAGAGAGACACTCTTTACCTCCTTTGACTACAGAACATATGTGACGAGTATTCCCTATATACACAACAGTCGAACCCCCTGAGGAAATCCTATTCAATCCGCTTAAATCTCTCTCTCTGCTCTCTCCTCCTCTCCTGCTCTCTCTCTCTCTTCTCTACTCTCTCTCTCTCTCTCTCTCTGCTCTCTCTCTCCTCTCTCTCTCTCTCCTCTCTCTCTCTCTCCTCTCTCTACTCTCCTCCTCTCTCTCTCTCTCACTCTCTCTCTCTCTCTCTCTCTCTCTCTCTCTCTCTCTCTCTCTCTCTCTCTCAAGCAACTCCATTCTCAAAGCCAACCCAAATTAAATATTTATTTTGTTTTGGTGCGTGCCGTAATCTCCATACGACTGAGGCAACATAAACTAGTAGTCAAGTCCTATCAGCTGTGGAAGGAATCCTGTTTATCAAGCACCAATGACAACAACACTGGCCAGAGGCATATTCATCATACTGCACTACATACAAACATTTACAGTAAGTAGATGATTTCAACATTTATGCCAAATGATGATCTTGGAGTCCAAGTGATCACTCAGGAATTCAGAGTGTGGATACACTACCTACCCACAAAGATTCAGAGTGGCACTAAAATGATTAGCTCTTTTTTTTATTTTTAAAGAACATTTTAGAAACCAGAAAGTGCCAACATGTTTCTCAGGAGAGAATGAGACATTGCTGTATGTCTTTTTGAGCGTGTGACTGCCGTTACCTTGCAAACAGTTTCAACATCCCAGGGCAGGATGGTCTGTAGATCGATGAGCTCGCATGACACTCCCAGTTTCTCTTGAGCCATGTTGGCCACCTCCCTCATCACATGGATCTAAGTGTAAAGAGAAAGGGAAGAATACCTTTTAATGTAATGAGCTAATGCAGTTTATAGTCTGGCCTGGGATTCATCTCTGCTAGAACATAAAGAGTATTATTCAAGATTCAAGACAACTGTATTATCTATACCACAACAACAGAGAACATTTAAAACATATAATCTGTGTTTACATTGTAGCAGGCTTATTCCAAAAAAATCTATGGTGATGGATAATAAACATGTTCATTTTCATCCTACTTCCAGATACTTCAGAGTTGCACAATTTAATGCAACGCAAGCAGCCTAGTTCAGTTTTAACTGAGTGTTTTATACAATGTCAAAACTCTCTCAACAATGTGTAATTTATTATCAGCCAATCATGTGGCAGCAGTGCATAAAACCATATAATGAGCAAACATTGTGATCTCTGTGACTTTGACTGTGGCATGATTGACAGTGTCTGACAGGCAGGTCAGGAGTGTTTCAGCTGATCTCCTGAAAATTTCACTCACAAGAGTCCATAGACTTTATGAAGAAACATCCTGTGAGCATCAACTCTGTGACAGAAACGCCTCGCCGGAAAAATGTAGCCTGGTCTGATGAATCTGGATAGAGTCAGAATTTGACATCAACAGCCTGAATCCATGAACCCAACCTGCCTTATGTCAACAGCCCAGGCTGGTTGTGCTGTAATGGTGTGGGGAATGATTTCTTGGCACACTGGGCCCATGAATGAGCATGAATGTGTAGCTGACAAATCTGCAGAAATGATGCGATGCAATCATGTCAACATGAAGCAGAATCTCACAGAAATGTTTCTAACATCTTGTGGTAATAGGCTTAAATAGCATGGAGTGAATTCATTTGGCAATGACTTGAATGTAAAGGATGTTCATTCATAGGTAAAAGTCCTGCACTCCAACTTTAACATCATAAACATGTGATAACTAGTCAACTGAGGGCTTGAACTAACGACTACTAGATGACTGGGAAAATCTTTGGATTGGAGCAGCCCTACAGTGTCTACACATGTAACTTTAAACTAACTTTTCCAGTGTTTTATTTGAAGTTTTGATCCATAAGAGGAACTATTTGTGGTTTTACTTACCAAAAAGACATCTCAATATAGTTTTACATCTCCTCTCTCACTTCTTTCTGGAGCTCTAGCAACAACAGGGTGCTTGGTGTCAGTCACTGAGCCTCACTTCTGATTTGCTGACTGTTTTTAGAGTGTCATACAGCCAGGCCAAACACAGCTAATGGATTGTAGCCTACTACTGTAGCTAGGTAAAAACTCACTGGTAAAAGAAAATGGCAGTGCTCACTCAGCACTGAAATAAGTCAAACAGACAGTCAAATTCTGGCTAAAATGCTCCAGTATGTCAGAAAAAAAATACCTTTAGCCACTGGTCGCTAATATTTCTGTCCTTGGAATTGCTGTGCAATGATGTATTGGCTTCCTGACATCAAACTATTGTGCAGCATTTCCTCTACATCTTTCTGTCTTGCAGCTTGCTAGCTCAGTGACAGAATCACCGCTTGGTGTTGAGTTGTTCAGAAAGTTAAAACAACAAAGAAAAAAAAAAAGGTTGGACGAGGGTCATGGAGGGCTGTGCTGGGGGTATAGCTGAGGCCCTTTGACTGTAGTTACTGACTACACTCTAGTTGTGATATCACAAAATTAGTCCTGACAGCTTGTTTTAAGGCACCATTTATGAATATGGGCTGTGCGCATTTCTCCATGGATTGGGCGTTTGACTATTTATATAGCACCTTGACCTGCTTAATACTCAAAAAAGATGAGATCTCACTTTCTACAATATGTGACCTGTGCCTCACTGTTCAAACTGGTATTTTGTAACATCCACATTAGCAACCTTTTAAGTGCTACACTGGCATGCAGGGGGTAAAAAAGTAATAATAATAATTTAAGCATTGTTTTCTATTCTACAGAAACCACTGCATGTGGTCCATCAGTGCCTAATAAACACAAAGTTGAAAACAGCCATTTAAACCTTAAAACATGGTGCAGGAGTTAGTCCCATTAATTCATCACTTCAGAGTACTTGAGTTCACCGAGTCCATGTTTACTGGCAGGCATCACTGGCTGCTTCCAAATAAGAATTGATTGCTGTGATAAATCTGAATCATCACAAATAGTAGCGTTGTCAGCAGTTAAGCCAGTTTCAAAAGATACAGACCCTGGCCTCAACCTAACAAATAAGCTTGATAACTAAGTATTTATTTTAGAATGATGCTATTAAATTATTATCTGCAGACACAGTGGACCTTTCTGAGGGGGACAAAACTTCCTCTGTTGGAGTGATGAGAAATTTTCTCTGAGGACTGGACACTGCTCCTTTCACTCCACTCTTCACTCTTTACTCTCATCTGCTCAGTCCTGACAGACGAGGGGAGTAATGAGGTGGGAACGAAGAGTGGCACTTTAAAAAAGGAGAGGCATGCTTTCCACTTCTTTACTGGATCCTCTTTCTTCTCTGTCAGCCCTTCAACAATAATAATGGCTTTGATGGAGACGTTTTCCCCTTAATGCCCTCCCACACCCCCTATGCTGCAGGTACATTACAGCCTAGATAAGCCTGCTAAAGTGGCTGGATACAGTCGATGTCGGGGATGACTCCTGGTGAGTTACAGGCACCTTTATATGGAGCTGCAGAAAATAAAATCTCTTGGATGAAAAGAAAGGCAATAATGGCAAGTGTGCAGCAGACATGTAGTGTTAACATGAGGAGAGCCAAGAACAGCCTTGATGTTGTGGAGATGTCTGGGCCGATACAGCGGCAGACTGCCAGCTGAGAGACCCTGCTGGGACAGAGGGGGCTTGTGATAGACTTAAATTTAATCCTCTGCTTGCCTCTGTGGCTTTAAACGTATTTTACTGGAGATGAGACTGGGTCCCTTGTTTCCTGTGGCCATGGAAAATGATCCAAAGATAGATGACAACTTAACTCCGCTCAGGTCACTCTGAGAGTATGTCAGTGTTGTATGGGGTCACTTACCTGTGTCCCCCAGGCAACCAGAGTGACGTCACTTCCTTCCTGTAGGATCTCGGCCTGCGATAGAGGGATGGTGTAGGCCTCCACGGGAACCTGTTCCACTGAGGAATCACACGCACATTCAATAACAGGTTAATATTCATTAATATTAATGTCAGTGCAAACACATTGCATGTCAGCTCACATTCAAAATCATCAAGGGTTGATTCTGAACCCATTCATTCATCATTTTACAATGTACCCTGTGGTTTTCATGTAAAATACTCAGATTCCAACTGACCGTACCTCTAAATGATAGACTAGATGACGATGAAGTGGTGAAATGACAAACCGTCAAAGAACACAAATTCCCGCTCTAGAACATTTTAACTGGCCCATTTCAAATGCTTCTTCATGCATTTTCCAGAACCTCATCTCTGTGTTTGCTTTTATCAGCACAATCGAGTGCATGATCTAATGATAACTTTTGCCAGCTACAAGCTCGTAACCCTGAATAATCTTAACAACAAAACATTGGTGGGATGGGATATCAATCAGAAAAGGGGCCACATATATGAGACATCAGTCCAAAAAAGCGGGGCCCTGCAGCCAGTCTCTCTTTGAACCAACGTCCAAGACAAAGCGCATGTAAGTATATGGTTTGAATAATGGTTAATAATGTCTTGGAAAACTGAAGCACACTTATGGAAAACATTACAATGAAAAAACTTATCATAAACTCAAACTGCCATCACTTTTAAACACGTAGCTTATTAGCAATATTTATACTGTGCAGAACCAACATGTAGCATTTTAACTAACTTTGAATCTCATTCACTCTTATGGCTTTGGCTGCAAAAAAGGCAGAGCACAGGATCTGAAAGTGTGAGTGGAATTTGGGGGAACTGAACAGCTAAAAGCATTCCTACATGGCAACGCATGAAGTCAAAATTACAATTAGGCAGAGTAATTATACTCTGCGGAGACATGGAGACCTTTCTGGAAACCGTGAATGATTTCCATGATCCTTTCAAGCCTTCGCGGAGCCATAAAGGAAAGTAAAATTGCCCATCTCTATGACTTACTATGCTAAAACAACATAAAGGGCTTGAGTGAATCATTTGCAACTTCTGGTTTAGGCTTCCAGACTAGACAGAAAATAGGCCATATGAGTGGAATAATAGCATTTCGCAGAAAGTTGAAATTGAATTATGAAAACTAGGTTATGGTTTAATAAGTGGAATCTCAGGCCCTACATGACAGTATGGCCTCAATGAGAGAAACGTGTGGTTCTTATTCTCTTCTGCACAAGAAAAGAGTGGGCGCTACAATTAAATACATGACTTCATAATCCAGGCAGAGATCATTAGATGCATGCAGACCTGGCGCGAGAGCTGGCACGCTCTGCCCCGTTTCTGGAAAGCAAAATAACTCCTGAAACACTACCACAACTAAAACCACCGTGTGAGACGAATGAGTGACTTTTCATACAGCTGTCAAAACATAAAGATTTAAAAGAAGATAACTAGAAACAAAGAGGGGACTATGAGTTAATGAGGGTGGAACCAGCAAGTAATGTGTTCATTTTAAAGTGGAAAAAAAAAAAAAAAGGACCTTGATTGACCGACTCATATCTTGTCATGGCCTTTTAAAAATGTATCCAATATATTTTATTATTATTCCAAATGGAAATGCTGCATGAAATAACAGTGATCCAGACTTTTACACACAGCATATCACTGATGTACTGTATCTCATCACTCCCCAAACAGCTAATAAACCAAAATGAATGTCAACTGAGCAACAATGCAAACAAAAACACTGCCAAGACCATGGACACCTGCTCTTCCTTGCCCTGTTCAACCACATCAATTTGAGTCATGACGCATATATTATATCATCATATTCACAGTGATTTGCTCTGATAGTGCTATTTATTGCAACACACACACGATCATAACGGGACCAATCAAATGTCAATGAATTCTTTCACAGCCACCAAGGCCAACGTAGCTTTGACAGATTATTAGGCCAAAGCTGTGAGGTATTAAAAGACATCAACAATAATACAAGGAAGTACCTGCCTTTATGTTTTGTTATATAGTCTATGTCCACACTTTAACTGTTGTCTTACTTCTGTTTAGGGCATAATAGTGCTCTCCCATAATTTGAAGTATATAGTTGCAGTCATATAGTAGTCAGTACGCTGAGGACTACAGTTTGAGCACCTATGTTCTAGTCACTATCACTATCACTAAATGACGGTGATATTGAAGAGGAAAGAAGAAAGACTATTGTCTATGATTTCTAAGCAGATTTATGGACGTTTATCCACTGAGGACATCAGCTAATGATATCCTCTAAAAGTGTCAGTCACACTGAATCTAAAAATGTGTAAATCATGTCTGTGAGTTCAGACTTCACTGAATTATGACTTTGAGAAGGGGTATGAATTCTCATGGAAATAGCTGCTCACGCCTCACATCTCTCCCTCCTTCATCTCTCCTGTCGTCCTCACAGGCTCAAACTACTGCACTACTATCCAATATCACATCAGTCATCATTAGCAGTCTATAGGTCTAAAGGCGTGGTCACTCTAGGGTTTATAACATCAAAACGTTGCAGGGAAATCAATTCATTCCAATGGAATCGCTATGATTGGTGGATTTGCTCACAAACTTTGCACATCAGTTGGTGAAGCGCATGAGTGCCTTTGACCAATAGCAAGCCCTTTTGACAGTGCTGACCTTTGAGGGAATGGAGGGCTGGAAAGTCCATGAAGTCTAACATGGAGGAAGGAAGTTATCATAGGTTATTGCATTTGTTGCTCCATTCAGTTTTCAGCCAACATCTTTTGAATAAACTATGTGAACTTATTGTCCCATTAGCAAACAAGCTAACACACTTGACAGCTATCAATCATGTTAGCTTGAAGAGTTTTTTTCCTGAGACAAAATGCCAGGGGGTGAGTAAACAACACAGTGCTGAAACAATGGAAAGAAGAAGCTCACATGTCCCAGCCTGCTAGTGTTTTAGCAGTTAGCTCACCAGCTACAATAGTTTTATTTTTTTTTTTGCTTGCTTATTTTTCTTTTGCAAGTAGTTATCAAGCATCTATAAACAATTATCTCATGAAGATTTGCAGATGAATTTTGCTCCAGGCCTTAAAACTTATACATTTTGCTGCCCTTTTAAAAAAATAAAAATAAAAAAATAACTCAAGGAACAACGTGGGAGATTTGATGAATGGAGTCACTCCCTATGAGCTGATGAGTGGTTTTAATATCAGACTGCACTGTAACACTGCAAAATATTTTGGACAATGATCACTAATCTATTGCCATGACTGAAACAATCTCAGCAGTCAGCTGCAACATCTCACCACCTCATCTGGCTCTTATCAAAGCGGGAAACTAACAAAAGTTGTGAAAATCTTTGAGGCTGGTAGTACCAATCTGTTCCGGTTCTGTCTTTCATTACTATAACATCATCTTCAAACCTCCAACGCTGTATTCATCAGGGATATCAAATTATCATTGTGAAGCCAAGGGAACACTGTTTTGTTAAAGCTGCCAACAGCTGTTAATAGTTTATTACGACTTTTTATTTTTTTTATATATTTTTTTTTAGACCTTTTTGCATGGCAGCCTGTCAAAGCCATGCTGGCCTAAAGTTTAACCATGCTAGCCTGAATACTGGTACTCCCTCCACACAGAGGAGGGTGAGGGGGGGGTTCAGCACGGCACTGTCAACACTTCACAGCCCATTTAGACGGTCTGCTTCACACTTGTGATGCTGCTGATCTCACTCACATTGTTTGCAGTCCAGCATATTGTTTATCTTGTCTCACGCCACTAAAAGGCAGAACATTTGCTTTCAATAAGGAAACCAGGCGCGCAGATAGTGGGCCAGTGAGGCACGATGCTGGAGAAAGCTGAACATCAGGGGGGACAAATGAACAAAGATAAAAAGGCTCCAGTAATATGTTGACTTCTGACTTCTACTCACACACCATCCAGCTTACCTGCTGCTCTGTACAGGATCTTGGGCTCAAAGAATATGCACGGATTCTTGTCAGCGATGCAGGAGAGGAGCAGACCCTTGGCCTGCACTGGACCACGGGGTATTACAACCTGAGGAGCACAAGACACACTTCATGAGGCTACTATGTCCACACTGCAGAAAATATCCAGTCCTGTGATAACCTTTATGAATGTTCATTATTAATATTAAACAGAAGATGATGTACTGTCAAATCAGAGACAGCTGAAGCCAAAATTCAGCAAAGATTGACACAAAATCCACAAGAAGCTGTGCTGCAATATTTCTCTCTTCCCTCCCCCTGACATTGTAAACATGTCACATGATTAGATATTAAACCTCTGAATGGTATTTAGTTCAGAATTTGGGTATCATGACAACACTGGACCTCAGATGGAGCTAAAAGTGCTGATAGTATGCACAAAGATTAACATTTATCAAGCTGACCTTTGCTGAGAGACAACATGTTTATTGCGCTCAGCAGTGGTTACTCACAGTGGATGAACTATGGCTGTAAACCAAGCAGTCATTCCCAGTCTGTGGAGTATGAGAAACTTTCAAGATGATGATTAGAGGCATGCTCGGTTTAACCAAAAAAACAAGCATGGATAGATTTTATATCTGACATTTTAACTCAGTCTCGTTTACTTTTAGCACGTGCTGTTAATTCCCTCTCAGCCACACCATCACTGTTTGGCACATACAGGTCATACATCTGTGAGCAGTGAAGATGTCTGTGTGCGAGAGAATCACTTTCCTCCTCAGGAAGTGTTCGCACATCGGCCCTGGTCAGACCTGACATCAACATGCCTCTCAGGTCATGCGTTCACTTCCCTGCTCTATATGCAAATAAACATGTACATCATTTCTGGTTGGAAAGACCAAATGTGTTATTGTTTTCAGCCCATTTGACTATGACAGAGTATTAAATAGTGTTGGGTGGTGCCAAGATGTTATTTGGAGATATCATTCACAGTGAATGCGTGTAACACCTTCAAACGCTGTGTTGAGAGTGCATCCAAACACCGTAATCGGTTATCCTGACATTTAAAATAAGTTATGACAGACTAAGTTAGAGGTGACTGCGGCTGCCACTTTTTATTCCAAATTGAACTTTCGAAGGTAGGAAAAAATTAAATATTCAAACAACATTTTCTTGTAGTTGCGCCATGAGCGCATCGGACCATTTAGAATAGTTTGCCTTGTGATCCAGCAGAGTACTGTTAACATTCCCCATCAACTAAACCAATAAATAAAAATGGAGGAAGACAGCAGCAAGCATATATTCGGATAATCACCGTACCAAAGCATCTGAGAAGCAGTGTGCCAAAGTGTTTTGGGTTATTCACATCTGATTTCAAAATTACCAACAAGGATAAATCTGTTTGCCAGCTTTGTAAAAAGCTGTTGACAACAACTACGTAGGACTCACCTGCAAGCTTACCACCAAAGTCAAAACGCATGGAGCAATGGCAAATAGACAACTTAGTGTGTAGGCGCTACTATTTTTCCTCTACACTCATCCTCAGGACCATACAGGAAGCTTGTAAAAAGGCCATCACTGATAATATGGCATGGTTCATACAGGAACACAAGAAAATATAAAGGTTATACTGAAGGCTGGGGTCTGCCGTACTCTGTTGGTTGCATTAGAAGTAGTTCCAATGAATTATGTGCTCGTCCAAACTCATCTGAACTTGAGTTTTTGAAGAAAAATGACATCCCTAGAGGCGACTGGCTTGCGTCATAGTTTTTGTCAGAGCTCCGTTCAACACACTCAAATACCAAACTGACGTTTTAATATTTACACACTCAAACACAATGTTTTCATCTGGACAGAGAGAGAAACAGAGAAAAAGATGCACTTACAAGTTTAACAGGTTTAATGTGAACGTACCCTAACTGTTGTCATTAACCTGCATTTATGTTGGTTTTGTCTGAAGCCATTGCAATCATGAAATAATCATTTACTCAGTCTGTCCCAGATGTCCCAAATGTGGACTGTGATGTAGTTTTGTTGTTTGCCAACTGAAAAGAGGGTAGAAGAAGTGATTTGGTGAGATTTTGTATGTAATTCCAGTGTTTCACAGCAAACCAAAGTTTCTACTAATATGGACACAAATCGTTTTCACTTGAAAACAATTTAAAAATTAGACAGCGAGGTTTGGATGGACTGAGGAGTACAACAGAACTGGGCACATTTCTACATGGCAGGATGGGGAGCTTGGAAGGGATGGTTGAGAAACTAACAGGAGGTTGTAGTGAAACTGTGTCACTGCTTGTCTCATAAAAGCATAGTTCTAGTTCAAATCTCAGCAAAAGCTGAAGAACCCTTTCTATTTGAAGATTGTGTACTCACAGGATGTTCTGAGGGGTAGAGAAAAGCCAAAATACTTCTAGCCAACAGAGATGAAAGTGGTGGAGGACATACTATCTTGGGAATAATTTTACTCCTTTATGATTAGACAATAGTTTGATACTTGGTTTTCATCTAACCAACCCCCTTTATCTTATCTCATCCATGGGCACTGACTGTTGAGATTTACATTTCCCCTCACTGTATATGTCATATCTTAGATGCTTTAAGTGGAATTACTGCTGTTGAGTCAATTCTTGACACAACATATATGTAAAAAAAAAAGTTTTTTTTTTTTTTTTTTAAAAATCAGCATTGTTTGTGGATAATGTTGCAGGGGAAAAAATTCAATTAAAATAGTCCTTTTTCTACTTTTTCAGAACTGCTCACCAACTTCTTTCTTTGTGCCAATAATATGCAAATGATGCTGGAGGACATGAGAAACCAGGATTTTTTTTGTTTCAGCTTGGAGACATTCTTCACTTGTTTTTACTTGTTGCAACACTGACAAAAATCATTTGTCTATTTATCTATTGTACTTATTCTGTACTTTCTTTCAGTATTTGCTTATGCTTGAATTAGCATGACTATAACTAATGACTATAAACTTGGACAGCATTGATGCAGCCGGCCTTTTTCATAAACTGTAATGTTCTGCCAGAGTACTTTTGAACATGTATCAGCACAAGATGTGAAATTACAACTTTGCACAAACCGAAAAAAAACAAAAACTATAGAAAGACAGGGAGAGGAAATACAAGTCAGAATCTGTAATGAATGCGTGGCTGACCTTGATGCCAGGGCAGTGGGCGAAGAAGGCCTCTGGGCTTTGAGAGTGGTAAAGTGATCCATGACCGACACACCCCCACGGAGCCCGAATGGTGAGGTTGCCGCAGTCAAACAAGTTGCCAGAACGGTAGCGGTACTTGGCTGCTTCATTGACTATCTGGAAAAAGAGCAATATGATTCAGGTTAAAACAACCACAGAAATTAAAAGAAGATAAAACTGCACTTGTGGAACACCTGAGTTATTGCAGCAACAAACACAGTAAGCTCCAGTATGTAAAAAGACAATTAAAAATTGTAACATAACACAATGAGGTTTTATGAGGGTGTACTGGTTTATACCACATGTCAAAAAGGAGAATCCTGATCTGTTTTAATGAAAGAAGGACCACACGAGCAGCCTCTGGATTTAGGCTTCATGTGTCGGGCCAGTCTCTCTGTTATTTCTCTTAAAGCTTTCAAAAACCTACTTTATTTTTAACGATCACGTTCACCTCAAGTGTCTGGTTTCTTTTACCTAGTCTCTTCAGTTTCTGATACTGGGCTTCCTCCAGAAAGGTTTTCCTCCCTGAAACTCAGGTGGGCTGTTAATTCAGCTTTTATGTCTCTCTGAGGTCAGTTTGGACTGCATTATTTTAAGCGAGAGCACAGAAGGAGAGAGAGGGAGCCCACTCAAGGCCCGACACCAGATTAAATCTACTGTGTCGCTGCATCGCAGCAGGAGTCTGTTAGAAACCAGCTCCATTATCACATATTCTGTTTTATGTTGCCTTGACATAGCAGGGACTCGCATTCATCTTGTGAAGGGCGAGAATACACAGAATGATGCTAGTGTCAACAAGTATGCATAGTAAAACAACAGTGCTGCCCAACGTCCTGCTCAGCCTGTTAATGCCACATTAATCTTCCTCAGGAAATGCTCAAAGCAGGGGGGGCATTTTGAAGCGCTTCCTTTTCTCAACTGATCTTTCTGATATACACTGTAGAATATGAGACTGTATGCAACTTGAGTTCTGTCTAGTCCATTTATTAAACACCTGTATACAACAAGAAATGCACTAGAAAAACCAGAGAGATGACAGAAGTCAGAAAAAACAAAATCCACTTACAGTGGTGGCTGCCAGACGAGCTAATGGCACAGAATCTTTTTTCCCCCCATTGTTTCAGTCTTTGCTAGGTGTTTCTGAAGACACTGAATTTTGTATCTTTTGCTAGGAGGCCTCATTCCTTCTACACAAATAAAACTGCATATGCACAGGGTGTTACCACATTCATACTCTGACAATCACATTGATGCAAACCAAAAATATATCACAGAATCACATCCTGGACTGATTTGTCATTCCGCTAACTTGGATTACAAAATTCAGGTACAGTGATCATGCATAGTCTGTCTGTGTCCGACGATGGTGCTATGCACTCTTGCCCTGCAGCAGTCAAACAGTGTGTGCTGGTAAACCAGGCAACTATAACAGGTAAAACATCTATGCTCTGCATCAGTGCGAGGCATAACAGTTTAGTATCAGGGAGGAGAGTAATGTTTTCAAACTGTATCTGCTAAGTTTACACATAATAAAACTTTAGATTAGAAACATCTGCCGCAACATTGTTCTGTTGACACTTTTTTAAAATCATTTTGAAGGGTGTTTGTGTTCAGTTTTTTGGCACAGTCGCACCATGTTTTTGTTAGCATACACTGTTTTTGGAATAGTTTTTGGTCACTTAGATATGCCATTATTATATCTAAATACCATGTTGATGGGATAGTATTTAAATTAGTACTGACACATAATGTATTAATATGTAAAAAAAACATGAATGTTTTTCCAACCTTGTTTTTTTTCCCGTCCTTCTAATATTTTAATGTTTGCCAATACAATTCTCGTCAATCTTTGAGTAAAGAAAACACGAAATACAACGTTGCCATGGAGTCAGCAGGTTAGTCAGGGGCTTGATTTGAGCATCTTTTTGATAACAAAGAAATTTGACGATTGTGAGGCATGATGTGGAGTTATTAGATGCTCCTGAGAGGGAGGTTCCTGGTGGGGACCACATCAACACTGTAGTAGTCTTTGACAGTGTGTCATACGCCTTTTTTACAGCAGACATTTTGACTTGTCACAGCAGGAAAAGCACAGGTGGAAAGAAAATTTCATTGACAAAAGAGAGCGAGCTCACCTAAATGGAATGCAGTTGTTTTTAAAGTTAAAAATTACACCTGTGCTTTTCCTGCTATGACAAGCCGAGATGTCTGGTGTGAAAAAAGGTCCACTGAGTGAGGGAGCATGTGCCTTACCTGGTCAAAAGCAGGAAAGATGTAGTCAGCGAACTGGATCTCAGCGATGGCTGTGGCGCCGGCAACAGCTGCACCAATACCAAATCCCACAATCCCCTGCTCACAAAGGGGAGTGTTAAAGACTCTATCCTTACCTGGGGGGACAGAAGAAAAGAGGAGGTACAAGAAGATTAAGAAGCTGGTGTATTAGGAGAGGAAGGAAACCAGTGGCTACTGGGTGAGAGGGCTTAAGACAGAAAAGCCCACATAGAGGTTTAAAGTTTAAGGTGTGGCCCACTGAATCTAATTATTTATTTGGGATCATTGGCGATCAGTTGTAGTCTGAGGAGTAGCAGTGTTTTTCTGATAACAGAGCAAGGTCCATGCTGCACATTTTAGAGATGAGATGGCAAAGTATACTTTCACTTAAAATGCCATACAGTCCTAAAGTAAATGAAGTGACAAGCTGATGACTCCTCCTCAGCTGTAGCTAACCAACCCTGTGATGTGCACGCAACCCCCATGAAGGAAAAACGGAAGGAAAAAAAAACTATTTTCCATTCTCCACCCTATAATATGGCAAAGAGCCACAAGAGTGGGTGTCTAAATTTGGATTGTGTGTGTTATTTTTGCTCTCATCTTTGTGTATTTGCTAATTCGGTCTTTTGCTGGGAAGCTCGCTTCTCAGTAGTGAAACTCTGCCCTTATGTGCCCTGCTCTGCACTCACAAAGTTCAATTAGCAACCACAGCCCCACAAACCCTTGGAGGAATGAACAATTAAGTGATCAAAATTTAGTGCCTTACTGAACCAACCTCAAATATGCAGCCTCATGTGAAAGTGACAGTAAATGACATATGTGTGTGCGTGTGTGTGTGTTTGTGTGTGCGTGCTTCTGTTTTTCATCAAAGCAATGAGTAGTAAGTCAACTAATGAGAAATAATACAACCAATAGATGCATCCTTGAGTTATCTGTGCCTCAGTTGTTCACATGAGTCTAAAATGCGACTTTAAATAGACAACATGTTTGGGTAACTTTTATAGTTGGTGCTGTCTGACACTGACGCTGCTCTCAGTGAAAAAGGCATAACACATTACTGAGAGGGAGAGCTGGTCAGAGCGCAGAGTCAATGTGTGCTGTTGTTTTCAGAGAAACAGCACTCAGAAGTAGCCAGTAACCAGTGGTGGCGGAGCTGGATCGTCGAGGCGAATGCATCCGCCTTGTAAAAAGCCACTCATATAGTGTCCACCCTGCATTAACCTCTGTTCTGTATAATGGCTGTGAGTGGCAGAGGTGTGCACCATCCCTTTCAGCAGTGAGAGGGATAAAAACAGCTTTGCGCCCGTCACCGTACACAAAGATGAGATGGAAAATAATGATCCCTCTCCAAAGGTCAACACTTCTGACGTCAATGAAAACAAAAAGGCAAGGCCAGCTACTGTAGGACTGATTTGAGGCTCCTCATCATTAAAAAAAAAAAAAAACATAGAAAATAAACTGAAAATGAACATGAAACAAGGAAATCCATTGACGTCCAATTAGTTTATACGACTTTTACATCATGAAAAACAAGAAAAACAATTAAGCACTGTCATTACACGGTTTCTGTATTATGTTTAGTCAACCTGTTTTGGAGGACCTGAATTTCATGGAAGAAATTTGCTAAAAAATGACATTAGATCAAAAGGTTGCATATATTTCAATACATCTAGGAGCAACTAGTTATAACTACTGACTGTTCTTCTACTCCGCATTAATCTTGGACAATACCCACAGCCTATTTTATATAGAAAATTGCTTGATGCCATTGCCATGTCATTAGTTATTTCTGAAGAGATTTATCTTTAAGATTGTCAACTGTAGAACCAAATTGAAGCTGTCAGCTTGTTTTAAAGGGTAAATCATCACTGAATAATACAGAGGAGATAATAATTTAATAGTTACGTAAACTGCAGATGCGTTTCTCTTCATGGATTCATACTTAAAAGTGAGTTGCAGTAGCGGAAACATCCCAATATGCTTTTTTTCATGGCAGACATTTTGACATTTTGACGTTTCTCAGTGAGAAAACAGGTGTAAATAATAAATTCCATTTAGTGGCCTCAGATTCAGGTTCCTGGTTTGGTTCATGCCGGCTCACTGTCATGGCTTACTGGGATACTTGAATTGAACAAAGCCATTGTTAATGTTATTAGTAACACATGTGCTTTCCCTACTATGACAAGTTAAATGTCATCTGTGAAAAAGAGAGCAGGGCAGCAACAGTTTCTGCCTGATATTTGAGCGCTTAGCCTTTATAAAGCACAAATATTCAAAAGAATGAACATAATACAAGAACATATTACAATATAATGAAAAGGTATGCACTGGCCCACATGCTGATATGGGTAGAGTTCTTTAGAAAGATGTTCAACCTGCAGGAGTTTGAATATAACGCTTCACATTTAAGCAAAATTTGAACGACCACTGTAACACTGTATCAGCCTACTGTAGCAACTTAGTAAGACTACCCTGCTACGATGGACAAATAAGTGTAAACAGATCCTTGTGGTCCTGTGGGTGAACAATGAACAGTAATATGACCTTGTGAGGGAGAAGGTGGGGAGATTCCTCACAGTCCTATGCTGCCATCTAGTGGAAAAATCATGTAAAGTAGACTGGAGATCAGGTTGCTGATAGTTTCATCAACTCAGCAATGGTGACTTTTCAGTTGGGGAGTTGGGGTGTAAAGCGGAATAAAACATCTCACCATATTTGTCTCTCAAACCCACTGTGCATCGGAATACTCCACCAAAGGCAACATCTTCCCCAAAGATGACTGTGGATAAACACAAAACACCGTTAGTGATGGAAGTGCATGTTCCTCAACACACAATCAAAGAACAGGAAAAAATACACATCAGGGCTGAACTTTATGCAAAGAAAAATAATTATTTCGAATGCTACACAAGTCATGATTTTCATATTGTGATTTTGATAATATTTTGAATCATTGTTCAGTCATAATACACAGAAGGATTCAAAAAGAAACTCCTAACAAACATCATGGCACATCAGTAGCCCCACCAGTCTTGGTAAAAGGGCTGCTGTTTCATAGCAATAGGAGTAGGGGTAGGGGGGGTGGCTGCTGCTGCTGCTGCTGCTCAACATGAGCTAAAGTTGTCTACTATCAAAGACTTTTGAGGCTATATTCTTTTTTTATTATTATTTTAAGTAAATATGGTAACAAATTGAATACCATGAGTAAAGTTCAACACATTTTTCTGCCACTAGGGGTCTCTCAATCAAAACAGTACGTCATGAATCAGTGAGGCATCATGGGAGATGTTGTCTTCATTGTTAAAGAACTGATTGCTGTTTTATTTTTTAGGTTAGGATTCCTTCAAATGGACTACATAATCACAATTCTCAGTATCATAATCTTTAGCTTTCACCATCAGTTAGTTCTGAAGCTATTGTTCATCTTTTGTACTGAGGATTTAACTGGGAGAGTTTAATGTTGATCCAAGTCGCAGAAAAGCTATTAGCCACATAACATTCGAGCTGCAACTATTAACTGATTAATTGATTAGTCGATCACCAGAAAACTAAATCTGTAACTATTTTGATATTGCTTAACTGAATATCTGAGTTTTGCACCGACAGTCAGACAAAATAAGACATTTGATGATGCCACCTACAACTTGTGGGGAAAAAGTGAAGGACATTTTTTCAATATTTTGTGATATTTTATTGACTAAATGAAAAAATAGCATCAGAATAATCAATAACGAATAGAATAACACTGACTGAAAAAATGAATAGGATTTTTACTTCCAGAACTAAGGACTTACAATGAGAACACAACTTGGATTCACAAGTCCTATGATAACTATTAATTCAGCTATACAGACTAATGAGCAGTGATAACTAACATGTCTTTGGGGTCATCAGGTGGGAACCTCCTTTCACCAGTGTTTTGTCTAGTTGGTCCCACGACACCTCCAGGAGGCTAGACAGTGATCACTGGCGTCCCAGAGTCACTCCCCTAATGCCAGCCATCACTGCTCCTCACACTACAACTATTTTTTTCCTTTATCTTGCCTATGCTACCACAAACAACACTATCATCAACTAGGACAAAACACACTAGCAGATTCAGCAAACAAACTCCCCTAACCAGTTGGAGAAAGTGGTGGCCATTTTGAATGAGGGAGGTAGAGTCAAGGAGAGATGCCTTTTTAAACTAATCTCCGCCGGAGATTATATAATTTTATGCTACTGCGACCATGTTATGTAGTTCCTAAAAATACATTGACTTCGAGTAACACCCTAACATGTAAGAGTAAGTGTGACTAACATAAGATTTTCCTTTATCAATATGGACTTAGACATAGAGCCCAAACTGTAGGCCACTGCATACTTACAAAAATGTCTTTTGGTGAAGTGACAGTGTTGACGTTTTGCAGATTTTCTTCTAATAACAGCTATAAAACTCAATTACTTATTTCAGTATCATACCTGCTGTCGGATCACTGGCAAGAGTGTTGTCCAAGGCACTTGTAACTGACTGGAACAAGTTCATCTTCTGTGTGGGACCTAAAAAATACATATTTAAAAAACATTTCCAAGAACTTGACATGAGCAACACTTCATTTAGATGTGGCATACTTTAGGCTTAATAGCCGAACATAACCATAAGTGACCATACCAGTTATTGCGAGAAAGAAACTACATGATGGAATCTTGGCAATGATTCAGAGATTGCAATCAACGGGACAAACAGTTCATTGTTACAGCAAATGATACTTGTAATGTCTCTCTCCTGAGTTGTCTTTCCGGATCAATACAAATTTCAGCAGCTGAGTGAGTGCCAACATCCTGGTAAAATGTACCATAGGATAAACTGCCGCACACTATGTGACATCATATGGATACTATTCCCCTGTGTGATAAGGCTATGAGAAAAGTCCCAGTGCTGTCATGCTGCACCAACCAGATACAGTCTTCACGTCGGCAGCCAGCAGTGTGACTGTGAAGTCTTAACCCACTTAAAATTCTGTCATTAAAACTGAAAGTGTTAATGGGTCACTTGTGTGCCGACACCTTACCAAATAAGATTTGTTCTGCTTGGTAAGATAGTTGGGCTTCTGTCCGTTCAAGTTTGCCAACTGAATACACAGGGCATATACAACTTTTTCATATCACCTAACCTAACAAAGTGTTCATAATGCCGATAACTAACTTTACTGTTAAACTACTGAAACTTCAAATACTGAACAATTCGGTCCAGTGAAAGTAGCTAACGCTAGCCGGCTAGCCAGCCACTCACCATACTGTGTCGGGACGGGGTCAGGCTGGAAGGTAAAGTGCGCGGCATGTCTTCGTTGTGTTTCTGTGCGGGAGCTGCAGCCCGGGGACACTTTCAGCAGAGCGGCTCCGAAAGAGCTGTGAGCCCCGGTACCAACACCGGTAAAGGAAAGTTTCGAGTTTGCACCTCGGAGAAAGAACCGTGCAGCCGCCGCCATCACTGTTGTTATGCCTGACCAGGAAGGGCAAGATGAATTAAAGTGTGCAGATCGTCTAGTACAATGATGAATCGTCACTCGGCGGAGAAAAAGTAGTATATTCCGGTATCAAGACGAAATCACGAGCAACTTCCGGGTTATCTTCAAATGTATTTGGCCTCTTTCATTAGTCTCTCTTAAACTTGACACATAATACTGGGGTTTTCTGTCAGTACTCTTCACTAAAGTGTTGGGTAGTGATATTTCAGCACCGGTCAAGATAAAATAAAGATTATATTTGCATTCAACGCGGGGATTTGAATAATATATTCAGCAATATATATTTGAGTTAAAACTTTAAGAGCTTTTATATTAGGGGGCAACCCAGTTTATAGATACATGCTGAGAAAATAGTTTTTATCTTGTAGAAAGTCGTCGAAAGAGTGGAACAAAAGCTAGTTTAAGAAGCGATCAGTATCTGGGATTAGTGGCAGAGTGAGACCTCCTGTTTCTTCCGCCCTGCACCAGCCTCCGCAACCTGATGAAGGTTGTGATTGGTCAAAAGGGAGGGCGGTGTACGTGATAGAGTTTTTGGGTACAGTAGGTGCACCGTAGACTGTATGAAAAGATAGTCATTGATGTGAACAAAGATGCTAAAGGCCAAGTTCACTTCATTCACAAACAACACGAGGTCAATTGAAGTTTACCCAATAATAACTTAACAAAACGGCTCAAACAAGTTGCATGACTGAGTGAAGCGGTTTCAAGTCCTGACACAACTGATGATAATGAGGTCTGGGCTTTGATTTGGCCACATTTCTGCAAGTGTACACTGTACACAGATTGCAGAAATGTGGCCAGTTTCAGTATGAACATCGAAAAAGCTCACCCTCAAACCATAGAAGTCTTTATTTATCTGAATAATGTGTTGCATTGTATGCATTTCCCAGTGCTCTGGAGCTGAAATGATTAACTCAATTAATCATATTAATTGGTTGACAGAAAATTAATAGGAAAATGTGATTATTAAATAATTGTATTTATTGATTACGTTTATTAATTTGTCTTTTTGTTAAGCAAAAACTGGAGACAAAATCACTTTTTTTTTTTCGAAGATTTGGTACCCAAAATGATTAATTGCAAAATTTTTTTTTTTTTTTTTTAAATGAAATTTAAAAATGAAAACAGAATTATGTACTTATGAATAAATACTTCTTGCAGAAAAAATATCCCCATCATCATGTTTTTCTCAAATAAGTGTGATGACACACCTTGTCAGTTACCCAACCCTTATATCAGCTGAGACAAATAAACCAACTCTAAAGGGTACAGTATGTTTATTTGACTATACTGTATGCTTACATCGAGTATCAGGAAACATAAGTAAAAATGAAAAAATGAAGCTATATATTTCGTTTCAAGGACATAAACATACAAATATAGGTTAGTTACTTTCTACAGGAAAAAATATAGTTTCTGTACTGGTTACGTACAGTGGTTAAGGGTCAACCAAAAAAAAAAGATCAGCATCACATTTTCCAGAATAATTAGTTTGATGACTTTGCACACTCCGCAACATCCAACTTCCTGCCGCTGCTGCACATTTTGGCCAGATTCTGTAAAAAGCAGAGAACACGGTTATTATTAAGAAACTCACAGATAGAGAAAAGGTTACAAGTTCTACTGAACGAGCAAGAATCTGTAGCTTGCTTACATTTGCAGCTCGTATGATGCTGTTTGGAGACTGGAGGGCAGCCAGGTCTCTTAGGATCCTCTGGAGATCACTGTTACATGGTGCCTCTGAAACAGGTGAAATGGGGACAGGTCAGTGTCATGTGGTGAACAGCAAAACTGGCTTGAGTGAGTATGAGAGACAGAATGAGAGAGAGAGAGAGAGAGAGAGAGATAGAGTGTGTGAGTGTGTGTGTGTGTGTGTACCTGGTTCAGGTGCTGCGTGTGGCTTCATCTGCAGATATGGATGCTCCAGCAGCTCTGCAATAGAGATTCGCTCTCTGGGGTTTCGTACCAAGCACCTCTAGAACAATCAGACAATAAACAGCTTATTGAATTTTACATCACTTCTGCAATACTTCTAAATCTATGGATTTGTCATGTGAAACATCTGCAAATAGATAAGAACAAATGATAAAATATCAAATCGATATAAATTGGATGAAAATGAATATAACTGATCGGCACCTCTTCCCCAGAATAATGTGATTATGCATAACATTTTTTTGCATCTTTTTTGTACATAACACAGACAGATTTGTAGAGATTTATTTTCACGTTCATCCTTTCCTACTGATAAAAAAGACAAAGATAGACAAACATCCACTTCCACTTTCTAACCATATTAACCACAAGTCAACATGTGGTTAATATGGTTAAAATGAAACCTTTGGGAGTTACGTCGATTATAGCAACTGCAAAGCATACTGTCTGATTCACCGCTTATTTTTCAGAAAGGTCAATATGTTCCAAGTGTGCAGATTAATTCATCAGTTGAACACAAATGTTTAATGGTCAGTATGAGCTTGATCACTGTCATTTCAAATGTCCATTAGTGCACTAAATGTATTCAGATACCAGTGCTTAATTGTATAGGACATGTCATGTTTGCTCATATCTTTTGTTTTCACATCACACTGACACAGTGCAGTTGTGGTTTCTCACCTTCAACACATCCAGCAAATCCTTCTCTGAGATGTCAGGAAATTCAATCTTGTGGGAGGGATCAATGATGGCGTGCAGCTTGGTAATCTGATTAGTGATACTTTGGAATGGAGTCTTCCCGTAAGTCATACAATACAGGATACATCCAAGCGACCACACGTCACCTTTGGGGCTGATCTGTGGAACACAATCGGACATTTCTAACCTCTCCAATTCATTCACAGGTTATTAAACAGATTGTTGAATCAATAAGAGTGAGTAAAACATGATACCTTTGAGCGTGCTTTTCCTGGCTGAGATGACGTGTCTTTGATGGCTTCAGGGGGCATATAGTTCAGGGTTCCTACCTGTGTTTGACAAACAACCATGTGTTACGCATGTAGAGTCCAATCACCTGGGCTGCATGTTAATGCTACATGTTAGAGACATGTATGACATGTCATTAACAAAAAAAAAAACCTACTTGTGAATCCTTCATGATGCTCGTCACATCTGGTTGGATTCTGTTTGCGATGCCAAAGTCAATCAACTTCAGTGAGGCATTCACTATGACAAAGTTAGCTGGCTTCAAGTCACTGTGGACTATTCCTGCATTGAAGATGTAGATATTTGGCACAGTTAGGATTCAGGGCATTTTCACACCTATAGCATTATTTGCTCTAGTTTATGAGTTTGTGAACTTTAAACTTTTTTAAAAAGAGTTTTCCTCTTTGGTAGGGTTTCTTTTCACTCTGCTTACTGGGCAGATGTGTCTGCAACATGAAAGTAAATACAGTAAGAAGGTCCTGTGTTATACACTAGCATATCTAGAATGCATATTTCTGTGAGAGAAACATTGCTATGCAATTAAAGACGAAGCAATGGCAGAGTCGGCTACAGTTTACCGCATCCCAGAATGCCAAGTACACCCGGCCACAGGAGCCGTTTAGCTCAAACTTGTGGAGTACACCTGGCATTTGGGTGGGATCACGATCGGCTCGCATCCCCCCAACAAATGAACCACTCGAGAGTTCCTTGGTGTGGTTGTTTTAGTCTGAACCCATGAGTGATTACTGTGTCACACCTGGCTGAACGAATCACACCAATGCAGAAAAACAAATTAATTTCCCAAGTTAACCAGACTGAAAAGCACAGGTGTGAAAACAAACCAAACAGCACTCAGAGCTTTAGTAGAAAGACAACCGTGTTTGTGGATGGTATGGACGGCCTCCAGCATGTTCTTCCAGTAGAACTTCCTCTCCAGCGGATTCACAGTCTTGCGGTTTCGCAACCAAGTGTTCAGGTCAATGTTTCCACACTCCATCAGCATGTAGATGTAGCTGTTGGTAATTTCACTGCAAACACACATTACAATCATCAGGACATTTGTGGCAGAGATTTAAATTCCAAGTAGACATGAAGAACTGACACCACCTTCAAATCAACTAGTCTGGTGGCAGTGCTGTGCCTTTCAACTACAAATGAATACCACATAATCATATTCCTTTTTCCTGGTGTTTTTTCCTGTTCTACAACTGCTCTATTTTCACGAACTGCTGTAATGTCACATTACAATGTTGTCCTACATTCTTTCATTTTCCCCATTTGCTCTATTTGTAGCATTTTACTGCTGCAACACTTTACAAAACAGTTAAACAGAACTGCAATGATTATTTAATGAATCAATTATTTGATCAACAGAAAATGTATTATTTGGATAAAAATGCCAAACATTTACTGCTTCTCAAATATGACGATGTGATGCCTTTGTCATACAGGATAATAAACTGAATATCTTTAGGTTTGGGACCGTTGAAAACGAGTCATCTAAAAGAAATCAGCGCCGGCTGTGGTGAATTGTGTGGGTTTTTTTTTTTTTTTTACATTTTAATGACATTTTATAGACAATAATGAAAATGATGGGTCATTGTAGCTGTTTAGTTAAATCTTAAAACTGACCACAAGGTTCAAGGTGATTACTGTACAATGTATTAATATTATATTTGGATAGGTCATGTACTCACTAGTCATAGAGCTTTATAATTTGATCACTGTACTGCTGCAAGTGGTTCAGATGTTCAATCTCATTTTTATAACTTTCTATTGTCTGAGCATCAGCCTCCTCGAGGTCGACATATTTCACAGCAAACAGCTGCTTTTTGTGATCGAGGACCTGGTACACCTGGAAATACAAGAAAATACCTGTCAATCAAGCAAGGACAACAAAAGATTGCTATAGGTAAAACATCAATGAAAATAAAATGTTGGAACATAATTAGAGTATTTGTTTGTCCCCACACATCATAGACATTCACTAATAATTTCTCACCTTGCTCGATCCACCACGTCCAATCATCTTGAGGATGAAGAACTGTTTGCCCTTAATGGTAATGGATTCATTTGACAATGCAGTAAAGGAAGCCTAAAAGTAGATTCAAACAAAGATACAGCACAGTTTAGAATGAATCCTTGTTCAGCAACATGCAAACAGAAAGGGGTTTCCCAGAAAGCATACAGTATTTTAGACAAGCTACATTACTGTCTGTGTCAATAACATTTTTAATCATCCATGCACTAGGGCATCAAAGTGCTCAGACCTCCTTGGTACACAGTAAAAAGCATCACTCCAAAAAAAATCTTCCCAATTCCCAATCAACAGTGTCAACAGGTGGTTAGTGATGGGCAAAAACGGTTTATGGTGAAATGTAATATTCCACGTGTGATACATTTTAGGCTAAAAAATAACAGCAAACGTAGGGCATGAATATGTTGTACCTGTGGAGTCTGGAAACAGGCTGCTTGGTTTAGAGGTGTATGAAACTGTTGAACAGGTCCAGCTCTGTGTGCTGCTACTGCAGAAGAAAACACCTCAGGACCTCTCTTTGCAACAGGAGTAATAAAGCTGAAGATGAGAAAGATGGAGTAGGTGTGACTGGGCAGAGTTTTTGATGGTACAAAGAGGCAAGAAATACAGTAATGAGAGTTTATGTGACCTTTAAATCAAATAAGTGCTGGTGATAATATTCTGGACCAGCAGACACCCAAGTCAAGATATTACCTGCTAGCAGAGGGGTTTCTGTAGCTGTTTGGTGTCTGGCAGACTGTTTGTGGGTTCACTCTGGATGGAAGCTGGAAGGATGGAGTGGGATGCGACTCCAGCAGACGTGGAACAGGTCTGGGGTCAGGTGGGCTCGTACGTTTATCCTAAAAAAAAAAATTGAATGATTTAATTAGCACTAGGGAAGGATTTTGAGACTAAAACAGAACCTGGTTCATTTGAAAATGATTTGAAAATTTATATACATTTATAAACAAAAAGAATTCATGTTTGTACGAGTATGAAGAGAATAAACTGGATGAGCAAACTTAGACAAGATTATTATGTTATGTGTGTGTGGAGAGTCCCTCACTTGGTAAACTCTCATCATGCCGACAAAAAAGTTATTAATGCCAAACTCTACCATTAAAAGGCAAGCAAGGGCAGATAAGTAAACAAACTAACAGCAGCTGACACTCCAAAACAGCTTACCAAAACAATAAAGATTATAAAATAAAAATAGTATTTTTTTATGAACCATTTCAAATGTTTGGTAAAATACATTGCACAGACAGTAGCAGTGGATAAGGAATGTTATCAGACCTCTGGAGAAACATGCCGGTTGACGAGAGTTGGCATCTTCCACTCTGATAAGGGCTCTTTGCTGGCAGGTTTAGGCTGCTCTACTGAGCGGTTCACAGGGACCCGAGCAGGAAGCTGATGTTCCTGGTTTCCACCGTAGGTAGAAATACTTACTGGAACAACTGTTTGCGAATCTCAAAAGGAAAAAAAACAAAAAAAAAAACAACAGGAGATATTAGACAAACTGAAGTTGTAAACCATGTCAATTCTAGTGCTTTGCCCTTCTCTTTAGTGAAAACTCTTCAGTGTCTCTCTACCTGTGAGGTGTTCCTCCACCTTGGTGGGCACTAGCTGTTTCTCTCCAGCTTTAAGGTTGCGTATGGCCACCTCCAGGAGCTCAGCTGGCCTGGCATTTAACATCTGGGCTTTGTGCAGAATTGAACTTGCTTTGATCCCATTACCTTAAAAGGAAGGAAGTAGGAGAAACGTGGCATTAAATTATGTTTTGCACAAAGGCTGGCTAGACAAGTAGTCACTTCACTGACGAAGCAAAGCTTGAATCACTGCGCAGTTGTAAGCGTACTGGGATAGTGGCTAGCCTTAAGCTACTTTCCATCATTTTTAGAGTTGTTATAATCACTGCTGCAAACAGTAATTCTACATGTATTCATTTATTTACCATCCATCCCAAGTGTGTGCATTTTGTTTGTCTTTGTTTGTTGTCCGTCTATTCCATACATCAGATTTCTGGAAAATGAAGATAAATAGTAATCCATCATACCTTGAGAGACCTCAAACTGGGCATGTGCTATGTGGACAAAGGCAAAGCCTTTACAGTTGGATCTTGCCACTATGAAGTGGTCCTGAGCTTCATCTGGGTCTTCAATCCTGGAGAGAAAGACATGTTGTTATAGCCAAGTAGCATGTGAGAAAGATTTGATACACTTTATTTCAAAAACAATGGCCTTTTGTTTTGTTTTTTTATCTTAGCTTATAGAGATTGTATATGTATACTATATCCATATTAACCACACATACAATGAATTGACCCCAGCACATGCCACAATGTTCCAGACTGTAATGCAGATATAGTATTGTTGTCCACATACCCCTTGAGTTCTGCATATCTGACCAGTATTCTGGCATAGCAGGAGTTTTTGCTGTACTGTCTGATAGGCAGCTTGGAGAAGACTTTAGAGTAACAGTCCTTGAGTTTGTTCAGGAGGCTGATGTCTGTGTGTGGGTTGCCTCTTTTCTCCAGGTTCATCAGATATGTCCAACACGACTCGGGGGAATTCGTTTTAATGACCTGGTCAAAACTGTAAGTTACATCTGCCAGAGAAAAACAGCGCATCATGAAAACAGCGAAAACAATCTAAACACTAAATGTTCATAAGATATAAATGTTTAATTGACTACTCAACAAACAGCCGGACATTCTGAGTAGCAGATTTTCAAGGTTGTATAGTACCTTCCATTCTCAGGGTGTCCCGTGTGTCATATGTGTGAAGGAGTGTGGTAGTGGAGTCCACAGCTGCCTGATCCTCCCAAGGGCAATGCTCTGGACTGACAGCTGGTGGCTGAGAACACAGCAATATGAGAGACAGATATTACACTTCCTTCTCCAGGTGAGGCTGAACATCTTTGCTGAGCACAGTCCTGATAATGTAAACTGCTGAGGGTTGATTCTGACTTTGCATAGATCCAAACTACTGTTGCATGTTTATACTCACTTGAAGATTCATTAAATCCCCATCGACAGCATTTTTCTTTGAGGATGAGAGCCCAAATGACGGGTTCATGTTTGAGCCAGATGTTTGCCTAAGACAAAATTAAATAAGTATCAATACAACACATGACACTTGAAAGAAAATTATTACACATCTGAATGACATAGTCAAGAATTGGTTTTCAAAGTGAACAAGGGAAATAACGCAAATCACGAAATTCTATTTTATAAATTGGTGTCATGATTTAATACTTTTTCAAGGAGTGCCATGTGGTTTCTCAGCAGTATATACACAATAAAACAAAAGCAGGGCTTTACAACATAACAACAAAGGAGATAATACCATAGCCTAACAATCACAGCACTGCAATTTTCTTTTCACACATTTTTTAAAAATGTGTGGTGAATTGTTTGATTCAATTAATGAAATAACACAAACCATTACAGTAACATTTGGGTAACCTATGCAGCCCTATACTATAAGAAATCTTAAGTAATCTCGTTTTAAGTAGAAGCAGTCATATATTTAATGTAATTTAACAAAACTGTTCAATATGGCATCCCAGACGTAATCAAATTACCTGGACAAACTGGTGGGGACTGATGCATCACTTGTCTTAGAGGGCTTCTTGTAGATGTAGTCACCATCATCATCGTCATCCTTTTCTGGGATAGAGAAAGGGACCACAGGAACTCTCCCTGCCTGTAAAGCAAAAGGTGGCTTACACACTTTAAAATATTTGGTAAATAATTTCATGCAGCCTATGAAAATAAAAAGCATGTTACACTAAGTTGTGTAGTAACACAAGCAGGATGAAATGCAACTCTCACCATGCCAACTGCTCTCTTGCGTTGAGATCCAGCTCTCCAGCCTGGCAGTTGGTCATCTGATGATCCACCAAGGGGCTCAGTCCTGAAGTGCAGAGATTAAGATAAAATGTCACATTGCCCACATCAAACAGAAACCTTAGAAAACACTGAAGCCTGTTGTTTTGGTCTTACCCTGAACCAAAAATACTGGAGAGTTGTAGGTCACCCGTCCCGTCTGATATTCTGCTCACTTTTTGAAATTCTGACCCTTTTTTGACAGAGTCGTGCACATTAGTGTTGGGAAATACTGACAGAGAGAAAAGACAGCAAAATATGAAAATCAGATTGGAAAAGCATAAAGCAAAAAGATAATGGTTACACTGTAGTATGATAATAGTACATTGTAACAATAAAAACTAAACTTCTGAGTTGCTGAACGACAGATAATGTAACCATATTATGTCATGGAGCCAAGCATGAACAAATACCCACGTGGTACATTTTCCTTATCTTCTGAACAGGGGAGCTGTGTTTGCCCTGTCAGCATACTTTGCAAGGTAGCCTCAAGCAGTTCCTTTGGTTTGGCACCCAGCTCGATAGCATTCTGCAATATGTAAACCGCTCTCTTTGTATTGCCTGGTAAGATGAAATGGCAGACACTGTAACAACCCAGATAACATGTCTCATGCCAATGTATTTATATGCACAAAAAGAACAAAAAACACATCTTGCTACCTTGAGAACGCTCAAATTTCGCATGTGCAATGTGAACAAATGCAAAGTTCTGGCTGTGAGATCTTGCCACGTTGAAGTTGGCTTCCGCCTCATTGACATCTTGAATCCTAATAAAAATGGGGCATTTCATGAGACTCAAAGAGACCTGATAAAAACATTCTAATTCATATATATTTGTACAATGAAATTGGTGATTAAGCAAGATTTGTCCGAGTTATTGATGCTTTCATAAAATCTTATCTACAGTAATTAAAAGTGGAAAGACACAAGTAAAAACTTTGGTTACTTACGCTTTTAGCTCTGCAAATCTGACCAACATTCTGGCATAGCTCTCATTCTGACAATGTCTTCCCAGCGGCATATTGGAGAATACTCTGGTATAAAAGTCAATAAGTCTAGTCAGGTGGTTACGATTCAAGTTAGGGTCCTCTTTCTTCTCCAGGTCCATCAAATATGAGAGACATGACTCAGGTGAGTTTGAGCCAATGACCTGGTTAATATTGTCCGTGTCATCTGCAGAAATAGCAAAGTGTTATGACTTCATGAAGCATGGATACTGATGCATATGCACCTTACAGTGACAGGACTACGTGCAACGCCATTACCTTCATTGAGATACTTTTTAATTTTGTTGAGCTTCTGATAAAGCATGGCAAGCTGCTGCTTTCTGTCTGTATGCTCCTCTTCCTCCATCTGAAAGTGAAGAGTAAATAAATACACGACGTAGCCCGGACAACATGTGTAGACTCTTGCATGATAATGTTTACCTCGACACCAAACACCATTCAAAATAATGAGAATTTAATGGTTCTTTACATGGTATGACATGTGGATTAGTCATACGCATGACTTCAAACCTTTTCAAAGTCAAGTCAAGCAAGTCACTGTCCAAATTTGGTAATGTTATAAGTGACATTTGACGCATCAACAGAGACGTGGTGAACAGTTAGAGCAACAGCAGAAAAATTAATTGTACCGTTACGTTACCATAATGAAATGCAGCTTTGGGGATCGTTTGTCATTAGCGTTAATTATTAATTTTCCTGACGACACCTCGTATGTTTTTTTTATTAACATAACAATATTCATATTAAGACTGTCAATAACACATGCTAGGTAAATAATTTCACATCGTTCTTCCTTTGCAAAAGTATCTCCTTTTGTGTTTACAAAGTGAGTTAGCACAGTTAGCTAGTTAGCCAACATGTAGCGATGTTGTTAACGACAACTACCTTAGCGTTCCTCTGTGGCTCCAATAATCTCAGGTGAAGTTAAACATATATTGCTAAGTGTATCTGTAATAACATTTAAATAACGTGTTTCAATTGAAAAAAGCCTCACCCTGTTCACGCTGTCATTGATCTCTTTTCACTTATGGGGCAGGAAAAAGGCTCGACTTCAACTGCCAGTTTTCAAATATGCCACTTCCGCTCAAGTCGTGTGTTGATTGGGTAGTTTGTGGTGACGACAGGATGCGTTCATGTTTCAAACTAATGACGGCGTTTAGTCAATAAGACAACATTAATAATCTAAGAAATCGTAAAGAATTGTTATCATTATCATTGTAATCATTATGTATTTTATACATCTGTGGTTACGCGAGGATTTAGTTTCATTCATCACAGGATTTATATTTCAGATTTATACAGAATTAATTTAGGCACAGAAAGGTGATAATAGTAAGCCTTCCCGTTTCTCTGGAACAGGAATTACTAAGTGGAAATCAGGCCACAACTATGAGGGAACAAAAACATATTTAATGGAAATAAATTCTGCGTGGATGGAAAAATAAAGTATATAGTATAAATAAAGCGAAATATACAAACTATGCTTGTTTTGAGCCCACCTTCCCTTGCATGCGTTGTGATTATCGACTGTATATAACTGCATTTCTATGTATATACATTAGCTGCATGTATCTATGGTTCCTACTGATATTCAAGTATTTACAGTGAGAAATTAATGTATGGTAATAACGATAACGTTTGTTATTCTTCCAATTTCCTGCAGCTCCTGAATGCACCAGTACCACGCTGCACTTCCCTGTTCCTGCTCCTCCCAGCTCAAAGATGGCAGCCACGGGACAGAGATGAGCGACGACCCAAATTTAGGAGTTTTGTCATGAAACCACATTGGGGTGTACAGCCGTTACATGCATGGTTTTGACATGACAGTGTTATAATTTGTCACTTCCAATGTGTCGTTCTACGAAGACAATTAAAGGGTTCAGAAATAAAATGTTTTCCTGTTGGCTAAGCTAGCAAGCAACGGTTAGCAAATAAATGAACTTGTCTTTTTTGCCACACAAGAAGAAAGCAGCTGCTCTGAGTACGGTGCATTGTCATCTTACAAGGTGAGTAACACTATCTGTTTGTATAGTAGCAAAGACGTGCAAAAATCCAACGTGGAGAAATAATGTAGTGGCGTTAATTTAGCTAAAATAACCGTAGTGCTTCTATTATACCTATCGTTAACATTATCATTCGGTGATTTTGTTTTACAGTACACAGAGAGGTATAAATCTGCTAGTGTAATTGCGTTTATTGGTGTTTAACAGTGTTCAGTGCTCCCGTTTATACACAAGAAGGGTAGCATTTTAATGAGATGTTAGTGTCACGTCTCTGCAGATTATGAATAGACTGGTTGTTGGTACATAATGTTCATATATGCCAACAGATTATTTTATAAGGACTGACTCCTCACCAGATGTTCTTAATTTCACTCTACCCTGCATAAATATTGATCTGTTGAAGACTTGCTTTACTACACATCCTGGCACACTGGAGCAAAACATGACACGTATATGCATCATTGTAAACCCTAATGCTAGTATTATATCTGTTCTTTCCCTCCAGTTCAGTTTCATCATGGCCATCACTCAGTTCCGACTCTTCAAGATCTGCACATGCCTCGCCAGCTTACTTTCTTTCTTTAAAAGGTTGATATGCAGGTGAGTGCAGCTGAATGCTTCACAAATGCAATGTCTATTACCCCTGATACATGCTATTCCCTTTATGGAACTCTTGCCAATGTAACTCTACTTTCCTTATTTGCAAATATAAATACATCAAAAAACTTAATATTATACCTTTGAGTAACTGTCGGGATGTTCTGGTGAAATTTGTATCTGATCCACAATTTAATCTCTCTTCATCCACTTAGAGAAATGCATCCTGTTCACTAGCATCTACGAGGGGTATTTTTGTGAAAGATGGATCAAATGCAAGAAGATTTAACACTAAATCTAGCCTGCCATGACGTGTCCATTTGAAATGCTTAAAGAACATTAAATTGGCGAAGTTTTCATCCCTGGCTGGCAGAACCAGCTCTGCACACTAAAGAGATCTGACCTCAATGTTGGATAACAATGTTCTGTCCGATGCTGCTTTCTACAATAATGAATTATTTCCTCTTGACTTTTCATTGTATTATTCTACAGGAGCGGAAGAGGGCGCAAGCTCAGTGGTGATCAAATAACCCTCCCAACAACAGTGGATTTTTCATCATCGGTACCAAAACAGGTCAGTAATCCATCAATCAACAGAACTAGCCCTGAGAAATTCAGATCTTAGCATTCAGTATTTGGGAAGGCAAACTACAGATGTAATCACTGGACAGAATTTCTAAATTTGCATATATTTGCTTATAAACATAAACGCCTACTGCTCTTGAATTCTACTTATACATTTGACTAAAAATTGTTCTAGTCTGCACAGCCAGAGATTGAAGAATGGAGCTCTTGGGACGAAGAGGCTCCTACAAGTATTAAGATTGAAGGTGGCAACGGAAATGTTTCCCCTACACCCAACGATGTGGATGAAGAGCCTGACTACTTTAAAGACATGGCTCCCACCATCAGGAAAACACAGAAGGTATGTCAACAGACAGTGCAGCTCATCCAGTATAAACAAGCAGACCCAATTTAGTGATACAGTGGATACTGAATTTTTAGATAAGATAAATGTAAATTTCATCTCTGTGCTTTTACTAAGGACGTAGCTCCTTGGTGTGTTTGTGTTAGCCTATCACAAAGACGAGTTAAGCTTAATACTGTAGCAGCTCAGGAAATTCTGTAGCCAAGCCAAGGTGGTAGGCCACCTGACACATGTTGTCTTGTGATAGGTTAAGTTAATAGGTGACAGCATAAACAATAGTGTCTCTGGACTTTTTTCCTAAAGGTTAATCTAAAGGTTTTTTCATCAATGTGCATTTATTTTTATGTTGTTAGCACAGTTAGTCTTTTTGTCAGACGATGCAGGAAACCTTGCAACTCTGTACACTTTGTGAGCTTGCAAGCCTGTCAACTGTATATCCAAGATTCAGATGAATTTTGTTTAGAATAAAGAAAATGTTCAAAGCTGGGAAGTTAAACATGTGAGCATCAGCTGTGAGATACTGTGTGCAGCCACTGCTCCTAGGAGATAGTCAAGGAGAGCTGCAGTGCATAAGCTAACTGGGCAACAGCTTGCTTCCTGTATTTGTGCAAAACTAGTCAAAGCGCACCTCTGATCAATATCTGTAGTGGACACACAAAGATGAGATAGATTTCAACCCACACATGTACCTCTAGATAATATATAATATGAGCAAATAACCGAGTTTCGCGAAAAGGCAGTCGTTCCTTTTTGGATAATATCAATAAACAAGTAAATGGTAAATTAAAATGATCTCTGCTAGGATAGATTATAAAGTAATATGGTTGTGACTGTAATGCACCTGGCTTGCATTTTCTGTTTGTCAAACCTTGACTGATGTATCAGGTTAGACCAGACGGGAAATATCCAGTCTAATATGAATATATTATCTGACTTCACTCACTATCTGCTTGTATTTCCTGGTAATAGATTCCTTGAGATGCTTATAATGAATATGGACATTAAACTAATGCATGAAAGAATTCTATAATGCACAGAACACCTACATAGTTAATAACAAATAACATACATTTTCTTGAATTATGCCTAGTTTAAAAGTCAAAACTACTACATCTATGCCTGTTATGGGATTGTACTGCATCACACAGTAGCTCAGTTAAATTCTGAGCTCTACTCCTCTCTCTCTGGTTTCCACGTTGCAGATAGTGCTGAAGAAGAGGGAGCCTTTGAACTACCTGGTGCCTGATGGCTCAGCAGGATTCTCCAGCAGACTGGCAGCCTCTCAGGATATGATGTCCTTCAGTCCACCCTCTGTGAGTTTCAGTTTTACAGCATCCGAAGCTTCAAGCAGGTTTTTTGCTTCTCACGTGTTATTTGATCATTGAAAAGTTGAGGACCGAGCAGAGTTTCTCTTGTAGAGTTGTGTAAAATTAAATGCAGTTTTGTAATTTTTTATGTGAAAAATCATCAAGAACAGAATGAAGAAAATAAATAGGAAATAAAGATTGAAATAAACAACCCACGTTGTTAAAAATGTATAGAGACTTTATAGGTTATATGCTCTCCGTAGGCTACTTTACAAATGCATATATAATAGATTTCAGTAGTAAATGAAATATGTGAGATTTTACTGGATAGAAAATTGAAGGTAAAACCTGTTGTGTAACTCGTTAGACTACAAGTTTTAGAGCTACAGGAGGCAACTCTTAGATGTAAGTGTTCACTCGTTATCAGTCTAAATGATTACATGGAACTTCAGCAAAAACCATTTGCTAGCTAATTTGTTGAAGGTTCATTTTAGTCTATTTCATGCAGTTAAGGGGTAAATACTTCAACTAGACCACTATATGTTAACTAGTACAAATGCAACAATGTGGACAGTACAACCTTTTGGATACAATATATCTCTGGTAGAACTAGGTGGGGCATTCAAAATAACTGTCCAGTAAAGAATTAATACACAATATAAAATACTTAGTTTGCTTTTTGGTCTTATTCAGGAATTATAGCTTGGATACTTTCCTTTTCTACAGGCTGAGCTTGGAGAAATGGACAACTGGCAGGAGGACACAAATGCCTGGGAGGACGAGTCTGATGCTGCCTGGGAAGCAGAGGAGGTGCTCAGGTAATGCATCTGTACCTATATAAAGTAGACGCAGTAGATTTGAAAAGTAGTCAGACCCTTTCAATTTTTTCACATTTTGTTATGTTACAGCCTTACGCTAAAATCAAATCAATCATCAATCTACACTCAATATTCCATAATGACAATCAGTCAATTATAAAACAGTGGGGACATGTCGTGAACAAAACATTGACATGTCGTCACCATATCAATCACCATTGATATGGTGAACTTACACATGTAATAGTCATGGGACAACATTAGGATGCATCTGGAGTTGTGTTTCTGTCCGCTTGATGAATGTAAGTCCAATATTCACTCTTCTTTAGTTATGTTTTGGTCCACCAACTCCTGAGGGAAATATCTGTCTATTTAGCTGCTAAGTGCTCCACTATGTTCACCACCTAGTCTCTAACTGTGGCTGTCTGCTGTTTGCTGCTGAGCAGGCACTGTGCTGTGGCCTTTTGGAGCTTTCTCACTGAAAACCGCTGCAGCTCAAAACACTATGGGAGCGGTGAGAGTGAAGTAAAACAGTAAAGTTGCAGCCAGGGCTGAGCGATATGGCCAAAACGGTTATCACGATAAAAATTTCCATACCAGTCGACATCGATATTTATAACGATAAATGCCTCACCGTTATTTCTTTCAGGTTTAAAGGCTGATTTTTGCTCCTGAGTGAAAGTTGACGAAACCAGACAGTCAATTGTGGTTTTAAACTGTTCTATTTAGTCAGAACATTACAAACACTTGCCAAACAGCAGAACATTTAAAATCTCTGAGGTATAAACATTCAAAATATGATAAAATATGCATGATTAAAATCAAAATCCTTTTCACTCCTTTTTACTCAACAAAGTAAATAGAAAATTAAGTTCAGCAGTGTGATACAGCACACATGAAACATGACCAGAATAGACAAATAAATAGACAAAGAAGATTTGCACAGGGTATTGGCCTGGCACTCGTCAAGGGTCCACTAATACTCGTTTGGGCCTCTAATTTCTTACTTCCTGTGTGTTCTAATGGGTGATATTGTTTCAAAGTTGAGTGGCCTCTCTTGTCGACTATATCTTTGTCCTCCGAGCTGCGTTCTGCTTTTTCTGTGGTGTCGCTCATTTCACCTTATTTGCTTACTCTGCTCCAACTTCAAGCCAGTCAGCCACTGCGTGTGTCTGTAAATATCACGTGCTGGCCTGCATTTATACCTCTCACCGTGCATCCTAACTTGCGCAATGCAGACCTCTATTCCTGTGACATGATTGGCCATTCGTGATTCATTTGTGGGCGTGCTATAAGCATGGAAATTAATTGCATTGAACATTTATCGAACATTTTAAATGTTTCTATCGAGGAAAATAATTTTGCGATATTTATTGCTATCATTTTATCGCCCAGCCCTGGTTGCAGCCAGACAACTGTGATCTAAAACCCCCTATAAAGCTCTGTAAAGTTGATGGGAGCTGCAGTAATAATCCTGTCCTGATCAATCACGATTGTTTTCACATTGTCATTTGATATGTTGCTATTATAAAAATATAAATTATATATAGATTGAGATCCTTTTTACCTTTTACAAAAACCTCACATGAACCAGTATGCAAACATGCAGTATTTGCATTATCTGCAATCCACATGTTTTCTTTTGGGGTTTTTTTTTTTTTTTAAATATCTGTCACTTGTCCATGTCACCGAACTGATCTGCTTCCAACTCATCAAATGTCACCCCTCCATGCATTTAACTCTCCAAGTCTATTCTTTACGACAGCATATTAGGGCCATTGTACATTTAAAAACAAAAAAAAAACAGCCAGGGGAGGGGGGTAATATTCTGAGAATAGTTCAAAATTTCCAAGTTTAAAGTTGTAAATTTACAGGGGAAAAAACAACGGATGATCTAATGAAATTATAGCCTACTTTGCAGTCGAATTTAGCAATAAGGAAATTTGGTTCCACATTGAATGGGACCTTTTATGCTATTATTTTCTGAGATTTTCCTTTCTTATAATGTGTTATATAGATTTTTGTGCATGTAAATGATCTCCAGAGTCACAAGGATCACAGTTTACATTAAAGGGAGTAACTCTGTCAGGGTAAAAACCCAATTTCCTCCTTTGTATGAAACGCCTCGTTGGTGGTCCAGACATTACTTCCTGGTCCTATTGACGTCAATACTTCTCTTGGTGCTGCCCGCCCCTGCAACCTGGACACCCCCTGCAAGCTTGGCACGCCCCCACATAACTACTTATAATGAAGAGTTTTTCTTTAGTTTTGTAGCCATGCCGAAAAGACACCATGTTCTCAACTGCCTGCAGAAATCTGCTTTATTTTTCCACGGTTCTCCATGTACCTCGTTATTATAACATCGAACATCAAGGAGGACTGCTTCAGAAACGACGCACAGTCAGACACTTCATTTTCACAACGGTTATTTCTGTAATTCACACTTCACACTGAGGCTCACAGCCTGTCAGTCTGCATTGTTGTGGATTTGTGATGTTAACCACGTTACCGTGACCTGATCACGTTAGTAAGAAACAGCAAAGCTAAGATATAAATGCTTAAATGTTTGTCAGTGTTGACATGCTGTACCTCGTTAGCTCAGATAGCTCAGTTTGTTATTCAGTAACTATGCCCACCAACATTAAATTCATTCAGATTTACCGGGAGCGTAAACCAGCAGGAGGGGAAGCTGTGGAGACTCCCTACCTGTCGACCATCTGTCTGTTCCTCCATTATTAATATTCCTTTAGTCCAGAAGTGTCCACACTTAAAAACTCAACAGGGTTTCTCATAAAAGTATTCCAAGTTATGAATAAAGTCATCCGAAGTCTTTGCAGACTGTCCAGCGTCTTGATTCGCAGTGCTCTTCATATTTCTCCCTCCTTCCGGCTGCCTGACAGTACGTACGCTTGTTTTCTGCTCCAGTCCAGCTTGTGAAGGTGGATCAGATCTGTCTTCTTCTGGTTCAGGATCGGACTATTGCTCAAAATTATAAACAGGACCGAAGCTGCCACAACCGTTTGTTTACACAAGACGTGCGGAACATACTGTTGCCATGGTAGTTGCCGGCAAGCTTTCAGAGGGAACAGAGTGTTTCAGACAGAGGGTGAATAGAGGACTGTACAAGATGTACAGAAGAAGAAAAATTAAGTTTTTTCAGAACATTAAAGCATGTAAATCTATTTTAGTAGAGACCAAGAATGAAATGATTAACACTGAAAATGGCCATAATACGTCCTCTTTAAAACAAATTTTGTTCAGTGAATTTCTGATATCATCCATCCTGGAGAAGATGGTATTTTTAGCCACCTCGCCTGGTTCAGACATCTGGTTCTGACAACAGCAATGGCTGAACTGAGGTTGGAGTCTGTGTGAACAAGAACACTTCATGTCGTTTATGTCTCGTTTTTAATGTGGATTCCCAGTTGGCTAGACACAAATGTGACACCCAGGACTTGATCTGCTCTTGGTGTAACAGATAGGGAGGCTTTGTAGGAAAACATAAAATAAACAAGAAAACAATACGCTTCCTGGCCACCTCAGTAACAGCTAGTATGGGCAAATGTCTCATAAACGTATAACTCTGAACAGACAAAAGCAGTGACAATGTTAACGGGTGAGCATTGTCTGCTCACTCCCAGTGGCACTTTTCTATTTGAGTAGTGTAGGTTCTCGTCATGGCCAGCAGGTGGCAGTGTGTACCCTTTTTTTTTTTTTTTTTTTTTTTTTTTTTTTTACAGCAACAGCAGCACAAGCAACAAGATTTTGTTTTTCCCTCTCCCAGCTGACCTAGCTTCTGTTGATGTGCTCTGTAATGACAATCATGCGTTTGTTTTGCCTTCATGTAACAGACAACAGAAGATGGCTGAGAGAGAAAAGCGGTCCATGGAGCAGCAAAGGAAGAAGATGGAGAAAGAGGCTCAGAGGATGATGAAAAAGGAGCAGAAGATTGCCGTCAAGCTCTCGTAACACTTTAGAAATGCTCAGTTTTGAGCCAAAAGGGATAGCGAGTGCAAAAGACACTGAATCAATCTTTAATCTATCTTTAAAGTCATCAAACCGACCAGGATTATCACTGTACACTTCTTATCTGTTAGCAAACTGTCCTCCTCCACCTTGTTTCCACCAGCAGCCATTTTAGTCTGTTTTTTCCAGCTGCAGAAGTGTAAAACGCATCATTCTTCAGGGCAGATAAAGCACCTGGTCTACTCGCTGTTCATGTGGCAAGGTAATTTCGGTCTTCAAGGGAGAGTGGTATTCATACAACCCAGTTCATCATAGGTTAAAGGTTAGGAATCTGTTAGGTAGTGTAGAAAAATGTTCTATTTTGGTTTTTCCCAGGAACATTTGTAAATAAACTGGTACCTGTGCTACCTTCTGAGACTCATTTAGGGAGTACAATTCCTTTTCTTTGTCTTATTTATAACCTCAAAGGACAAAGGAGTGTAACTAATTTTAAGCATCACTGTATACCAGTGACATCCTTTGGTTTGCTTGATTATTGTGTTTTTATATTTATGTCTGTCATGGTCTGAAAACAGATTTTTGTTTTCTAATGAATGTTGCTTGATATTTCATCTTATCTCCCTGTGCTGTGCAGCCCTTATAACACTGGAAATCTGCATTAAACTGAAGGCTGAGGATTTTCAATACGAGTATGAACAAATGACCATAGACTAGAATCTAGCCCAACTATAAATGCTGTGGGTTCCTATGGTAATCTCATGGCTACTGATTCACATTGACTTTTTTCCTTTCCTTTTTTTGCCGTGCAAAGGGAACTTTGCTCTTAAATAGTTGATACACTCACTGCACAGACACTGTCTTTATAAAACATAGATCACCATCACATCATAATCCCTGACCAGTTTTCTTCGCCATTAAGGAAACACATTTGCCTCCTTTCTTGTCTGGAAATGCAAGGCTAACGGTGTTGGAAAAATTGGTACCACTGCCGATCGGCAAGCTGTTGTCATGGAAACAATGGCAGATAGAGAAAGGCCTTTATAAATTCAAATGTGCATACAGGATAGAGTATGCCTTTGGTCCATGACTTATGAAAAATAATTTGGAAAGACACTTGAATGACAAGTTTGATGTACTAAATGTTACAATAAGAAAAGCTTTGCAAGCAGTGTGATCTCATACTTCTAATGAAATATTGAGTTAATGTTATCTATCAAATGATTTATTGACCCACTCAGAGATGCTGATACAGTTGAAACTTAATAACATGGCTGATACGTGCATGATCGGGTTCAAGAGTTTAATTAAAAGCAGGTGTTTATTTGAAGGGAATTCAGCAAACTATCAATGTGGATTAGTGCTTTCTTTGGAAATGCTCTTTTCCCAACTGTTTCCATTGAGAAAAGCTGCATGTTGTTTTGTTTTGTCATTTTGCACTTTTAATTTTTCCAAAAATGAATCACAGAGAACCCTTTGTTTCTCATCTTTTTTTCCACATTGATGTGTATGAGTTCATGTTATAAGAGTTTGTCATGGTTGAGCACAAACAGGCACTTCCATGGAAGTAATAAGTCCCCAAGCTCAATCTAGAGGGTCTGCTGTATTAGTCCTACACAGGTTTTTAATAAAATAATTTGATTCAGGTGAATATCTTTGGTCATGAGTCTGCTGCCTGATCTGTAATTTGGGAAGCACTATCTGAAGCTACAGTACTGGGGCAGAGGTACCATTACAGGTGGATGACATACTGCATGATTATCTTTGCTTTGGGTACAGCATATAGGTTTTTTGCTTTTTATTAGCCACTCGCGGTGGTGCTCTAGGGATGACGATGTTGGTCAGACGTCATCATTTTGGTCCAGACTGAAATATTTGTACAAAATTTCATGGCAATAAATCCCGACATTCATGGTCACCAGAGGATGAATCCTACTGACGGGGATTATTTGACTTTTTCTCCAGCAAAATGAGGTTGATCATTTTGTTTTTGACTGAAATGTCTCAGTGATTAAATTAAATTTGTTACACACATTTGCAGTCCCTTCAGAATGAACTGTAATAATTCTGGTGATCCCGACATGTCTTCCACTACTATCCTTGGGTTAAGATTTAACACTTATGTGCTGGACAGTTTTTAATGACCAAATATATGAATCCAACTTTTAACATTCCTTTTAGCCTCAGCTATAGTATTTAATGCTAATTAGCAAATATTAGCAAGCTAAACTATCTATGGTGAGTGATATACATGATACCTGCTAAGCATCAGCATGTTAGCATGCTAGGATGCTGTTGTTAGCATTTAGCTGTAGACTCCTGTACAACCTCATAGAGCTGCTAGCATAGACACAGTCTTGTTTGTAGCATCACACTGAGACGGCCTTTAACCTTAATTGATGGACGGTTGTCATCGCTCATCTGACCTCCATCAAAATGATGTCACTCCCATCTGTCCGGGGACACTGCCTGTCTGCCAAAACCTCTCAGAGACTGACCCAGTTTCAAAAAGGGAAAATGCACGTCATCAGTCTTCAGAAAGAGAACAAGCTATAAGGCTGAATAATTGTCCTGGGAGTCTAGAGAATCTAACAGTGTATACTGATTTTACAAGAGTGTGTGTGCACAACACCATTGCTGCCGACTCATATTAATCTAGAATCCATAGACTAGTGTTGGGCATCTGATGACTCATTAGTCTAATGCTTTATAAACAGAGATCATGGTTATGCAAGTTAAAATACACTGCCGTATGGCAGAGTGGAAGAAAAGAGTAATCAGAGTAAAGATGCCAAGTGTTAGTTCATTTAGAATTAATCAGCTTTTCTTTCTTCATTTAATGTGGCTAAATGTTATGTAACGAGTAGAGAAAAGCATCTGTAGTTCTTGCGGGTAGACGTCCAGCTGCTCTGGCACTGACCCAGTTTTTACTGGTGTAAGGGTACAGGCAGCATTTTACAGCTTCTGAGAGATCCCAGTAAAGTGGATCTAATGCACTTCACATTGTCAGCCCACAACCCAAAGGACGTCTGAAAATACAGGCTGGGAAAGCTTTTATGTAAGATGAGCCATCATGAGGATACTGCTTGGTTGCGCTTGGGATCAGACTAGACATTTTCCCCCTTTTATTAATTTATGTGAACATCTTGCTCAAATTAAAAAACAAAAAAAAAAAAAAAGAACTTGGGCTCTCCCAGTGTTCACCAGCATTTTGAACAGGCCTCTTACATAAGTCAAACTTTAACAATCATCCCTGTTCAGCCATTTCTTCCCCATAACACACCTGAAAGATTAAAAATGTCAGGAGTCCAAAACATGTGGCCAGAATTATCATGCTTTAATAATAAAGATACAAGGACAGTTGATGTAAACCACCAGTATTGCACATAGCTCAGGCACATAACAAGTGTCAGTTGCTTTGAAGCGTCAACTCATTTCTATGAACAATACACAGGCTGTACTGAATAAAGCTCTACTCCGAGGGAGGGAAAAAAAATAAAGTAAAATACTTCTTCACAAAACAATAACAGTGAATTCACATTAAAGCTTTGGCTGAAGGTTTAAGGTTTCTTTTTGAACAATAACTCAAAACGGTTGAGAACCTGTCAGAAACTAACATTCAATCTTTCTCATCCTAAACATAAAGAATTTTTTTTTTCTTTTTTAAAAACACAACGACAACTGGGAACACCACAGGACAATGATAACACAACCATCTACCCAGATGATCAGCTTATACATGTAAATGATAAATAAATATATAACCCCCATTATAAATAATCCCTTTCATGTCACCATTTTGCTTCAACTCATGGCAACTGTACAGTGCAAAGTAACAGTGTTGGAACCAAAATAACTGCATTGATATCATCAGGTGTCAAACAAAAACAAATACTCTCGAAAAGATGCTTAAGTGCTTTTAGTTCAAGGTTAGGTGTGTGCATGCAGGTTGGAAGCTATTACGCATCCGGCCTGTGAGTGACGTGACGAAGAGACTGCAATCCCATGATGCAACAGCCCCTGATAAGAGCAGCAATGTTGTACACTGGATAGCTCCCATCCACACCGTGTCGCGAGTACAGCCAGGCCACCGTGGGTAACACAGGGGCTGCTACTGCCACCAGATCCACCAGGAAGCTGTTGCTCCAGTACCGTTTGCCAACCACATCCAGTCCAGGTGACAGACAAATTTCCTCATCAGCGACACCAAAGTCCAGCTCCTCCATGAACCGTCGGCTCTGTGCAGGCTCCGAGCTGCACATGCCGGAATCAGTGGAGGTGTCGGGGCTCTCTGGGTGAACAGGGCTGGGCATTCTGGGTGGGGGAGGTGCGGAGTCAGGGAAAGTGGCAGTGGTGGAAGCAGAAGTGGGCAGGTTTGGGAGGCTAAGAAGACCACTGGAGGATGATAGAGCTGTGTCCGCAGCTGTAGCCCCGTGGAACTTCAGCAGCTGGAGGAGCAGAGCCTGCAGGTCTGGAGACATGGGCATTGTGTCGGTCTGGATTCCTTTATCTTCTGTGGTCTGCTGGGAGGGTGTGCTTGAGGAGATGGTGGTGGAAACTGTATTTGGTAGCGCTGGTGTGGATGCAGTAGATTTATCAATCAACTGTTCCTCTTCTGACAGTGCAGACACCCCAGGCCCTGACTCTGCCTCTGCCCTCAGCTTGCCACTAGAGTCCTGACTTAAGTCAACCGCAGTGGACATGAAGACCTGCTCCAAAATGTCCGCTCTGTTGGCCATCTCATCATTTACCAGCAGCCCGCTGTCTGCCATTGCCTCAGCCCCTTGGTCTCCCAGCTCCATCCCACCCTCTTCCTCCCCTACCATCTTCTTCCCACCACTGTCAGGGCTATCACAGATGAAGTCCAAGGTGTTTTCATCTTGGAGGTTGGCACCACTCTGAGCGAGCTCCATGCTTTGCAGCAGGGACTCCAACTTCCTGTTTTGAATGTTGATGTCAATGAAGTACTTCTGTATTCCCTTATCCTTCTCCATCAGGCTACTCTTCATGGTCTCCACCACCTGACGCAGCTGTTTGATTTCTTTGCGAGCCTCTTTTAGGGACAGCTGAGCCTCCACCCGGTGACACTCCTCTTCAATCCAGTCTTCCCTCATTCTGCACAGTTGGGCCTTGAGCTCTTCAATCTCTGTCTCTCTAATAAAGAGAAGAAAATGTGCAGAGTTACTTCAGTTGTTTAACATTTTGGGAGAAATATTCTGAACTCTAATATATCTGTATGCCAAATATGAAGCTACAGCTACCAGTTAGTTTAACTTGGTGCAAAGACTTGAAACAGGGGTAGCAACAAAAACCAAATTTTACTTCACATTCATTTCAAAGAATGGAGCTACACGTGCACGTTTCCAGTTGCAACATGACCCTGTCTTGTTTGCTTTGAGTAGAGTTCAATCAACTTTAACTTTGAATCACAAACTTTGTCAATGAAAGTGTTAATATGCTGTTTACAAACTTGTGGAATGTTATTGATGGCCTGCTAGTCATCCTAGCTCCTACAATTTATGCTAATGACCCTGCCTATGCCATATCCTGTCACGCCTGCTTTAGCACACAAGTAAATTTTTCAAGGTGTAATCCAGTCTGACAGCTCGAAACTAATCTCCTTTGTTTAATCAATACAAAAACCAAAATGTGAAGACAGCATGTGGGTTTGTAGTGTGCTTTAAAATGCCAGTAGGTGGATTTTGTTACCTGGGCTAACTGTCTCTCCCAGTTTCCAGTCTTTATGCTAAGCTAACTGGCTATTGGCTGTAGCTTTATTTATTTATTTATTTATTTATTTTTAAACAGATATAAATGGTATCAATCTTTTCTCCTATTTGTCTCTCACTCTGCAAGAATATGAATAAGTGTAAAATGTATGAGCTGATGACTTTAAAAGATATGGTTTAAGAAGTTACTTCATCTTGCACTTCAGTAAATGTTATTAGTTGAGCAGAGCTGCAATATGGAGGATTACGTCACATCAAATGCATCACTTTCTCCCCTGATACTACCACTATCAAACCATAAAAAGCTACAGATACAAATCACAGGAGCTACTGTGCTGCTAAATCTTAACTAACCTGTCATGGACTCTGTTCTCAGACTCCATCAGTTTGATCTTCAGGTGTCTGATGGCCACTTCTTTCTGTTGCAGAGGGGTGAGGTACTGCTCGGGGTTCGGGGGTCTGATGCCGTGGTTGTCTCCACAGGAGTGGTAGCGGCCTAGGTTTGCTCTTCTGTCAGGCAGAGATGTAATTATATAATATTATGATATTGGTGAAGGGCCACATTTACTGCTCTAGAACCACCATATCCATCAGCCCCCAACTAGACATTTTGAAGTAACAGCAGAAAACAAAGCAGTTAGACATTTCAAAGTAAAATTGCTCCCTGCAGAGGGTAATTAGTCTGGCTGAGAGAGTGCTGTCAGGGCAGATGCTCTCCGAAGCCTGGAATTACTGTCTGACACAGGATTACTGGCATGCAGACTAGAGGCAAAAAACCCTAAAATGCTGGTTTATCTAAATACAAGCAGAGTTAGCAAGGAAGGAAATCACCTTACTAGAAAAACCTTAATCTACAAGCTAATTGCCTTAGCATTCAAATGCCCTCTGCATGTCCTATGATCAGTGTTTTATCATGCTCAAAGAGAACTGATAAAAGGATTTTTTTTCTGTAGAGGACGAGTGGGTGGATTTGGACAATATGCAAAGCAGCATGTAAGCCCCTCTCTCCCACTAACACAACATCCTAGCAACCTGGGATACTTGAGGCTTTGATGCGAGCACTATGCATCCCTGCCAGAAATAGAAACAGCCCAGGAGAAGACAGCATGTGAAAGGAAAAGATGTCACATGACACTTAGCCAGGCAGAGGAAAGCTGACAGCAGAATGTCTTAAAGTGATAGGAGTGGGGTTTTTTATGGAAGCTCTAAGCACAAGATAAAGAGTGAGTTTTTATGCAGTAGCAGAATCTGCAAAGGGCTGTGGGTTGAATGTTTGTTTGCTGACAGAGGATTTTTAGGTTAAACCTTATGCAGGGCTGAAGAGTCAACAAACAAAGCCTACAAAGTAAACCCTACTAGTAATTTGGAGCACCATGTCAGAAATTCAAGGTGGTCCACACATATGAGCTGCAGGCTGTTCAGTTCATACATCAATTCTGCTAGTCTGAAATATTTATGACCCTCTTCCCTCCTCCAAACCAAGGTGCATTCTCTCTAATCCAGTTATGAGTTGGCTGCATCCTGTAGGGTCGCTGTCTGGGTACCATATTCAGACAATTGCTTTACTGAATCCTTATTAATCCGACCCACAGCCAAATCATGACCGATATAATCCCAGTCAGCTGCAAGAGAGGAAATGATAAAACAGTCTCGTCTTAATCCAACCACCCACTCACTCACGCACTCACTCACTCACTCATAGTGCATTGCCTGAGCCACAATCCAAATCTCTCAGTCTCCAAAATCTAACTCCTCCCTCAGGCAGAGAAGGTTGGATTTGTAATGAATCCAGGGGGAGATCCTTTGCAGGGTTGAATGTGTCCAGGAGGTCGCAGCAACTGATCAGAATATTTTACTTTGAAGCCACAAACCTTGTTCTGTGATTATCAATAATGCATGGCATGAAAGCAATGTTTAGTACCTGGAGGTGGGGCTGGAGTTGCAGCTGCTGCTGTTGGTTGAGGAGGCAGCTCTCGGAGGAGTCCTGTAGGGAGCGTAGAGCTCTGCATCGCGGTTGGCTGTCGGGCTCCCGGCTGGTTTGAACACTGGCAGAGGTCTGATGTGGGTGCTGCGACTGAATAATACGATTTGGAAAAAAACAAAACAAAAAAAAACAAAACAAAACAGAAATAATTCAAGTGTTAATTCCAAAAACAAAAAAACATTTATGCATAACGAACCTTTCTCTTTTAAATAAGATTAAAACCTTTTTTTTTTTTTTTTTTAAGTCTAGTAGCAGCCCAGCAAAGCATAGAGATGATAAAAATGCATACATTAAATGTCATACCTTCGTGAAGGCGCTCTCTTTCCAGCTGAATTAGAAATTAGGCTTTCCCTGGTCTTTAGGCTGCCTGTGCTGCTGGAAGAGCTGAAGTCGGCCTCACTACCTGCAGGGAAAAACAGCATTAACATGCAAGCAGACCTAACGCAAAGCTATATTTTTTTTGAAGAATATTTACCAATCTTCCTCATTCTATGAAACGTTTAATTCATAAGAAAAGGAACACAGTCTTGCTCAAGTCCATACTCTCAAAGAGTTTTAGTGCTTCAGCCTCACTTGGTGTGGTATGAATGTGGCTAATGTTAGAAACCTTTGGATAAATATTGAGTTTACTGACTTTATGATTCCTCTGTACTTGTCCAACTGTAACCCCATATATTTGGGAATGTCACAACTCAACATTTCACTGGTTTTACCTTAAAAGTAAAAAAAACAAAAACAAAATTGTCCTTTGTCGTCAAGTTTCGCCCAGTGGTAGCTGTTGGCTAAAGGTTAGGTGGCTAAAGTTAGCTTTCAGCCTCAAACCTCCACATTAATTTGAACACAATTCTATATTCTTATTCTATGTCATCAAGAAAACACATGAGCCATTTGTGTCCACTTCTCCTGTCTCCTGTCCCTCTCATGTCAGTTCATCGTTGCATCTTCTTTGATGAGCACCTTGAAGCAGCACCATCTTTTCCTGTTAGGATCAAGTGCAGCATCAAACAGGACCATCATGTCTCACTTTACGTAAGCAGGACATCCATAATATAGTCTCCCTGATGGAGTGACCAACCAAATAACACAGCCTCAGACAGATACTCTCATACAACAGCTTTTTGGATGGGCTATACTCCCCATAATCTAGACCCTTTGTGAGTTAAAATGCCACTAAAACAGAATTAGTCAACACTCAGCCATTATGTGTAAAACAATCTGCTCAAATGTTGTAACACAGTCACTTTATGTAAAGGGCTCAGCACAACACTGCAGCCTTGAACACCAGAGAAAAATAATTGTTTAAACAGAGAAAAAACAGTCACTAAATATTTTTGTTGAAATTCTTTATAGGTTAAATTCAAAGTCATACCTGAGTAGCATCGCTTGTCATCTAATAAAACCATAGTATTGTGTCCCGTGATGACTGTGTCAAATAAAACAGTTCAAAACTAAGTGATCCTCCACCACTTTGGTGAGTGGACTGAGAGTGTGTGCACATTCAATGTATTCAGTGTAGTAACCTCCTGCTAATCAGCCTAATTGGCTAAGCTCCCAAATGTTTTCCTCAACCAATCAGCTTTCTGCCCCATTTTGACTCAAGATCAAGAAGTTTTCTCTCATGACCCCAGATTTAAACAGATTAAAAGAGAGGAAATTTAATTTTGGCATCAGGACTGGAGTGCACTGTTTCTGGTATATGTTAACAGAGCACAGATGCACAGACAACAATTCATTCCAGTTATTATTCTGCTTTTAGGCAAGCAGCTGCTTCCCAGTTAGTGTTTGTTCAAGTCAATAAGCCTGGGAAACTGTTAGCTGCTGACATGTGACAAATACTCTGTTATTGTACTTTGGTCTTTGGGGAACCACTGGCATGTAAAAGTATGTGTAAGCAGTGTGTAAGTCTGCACATGAGTAAAGATATTCATCGACAAAAAATGCAGATTATTCCCATAGACTAGAGGATCAGATTGTCATAGTGAAGATTTCATATGTTGATCCTCTTTCTGTCTCCATCTTTTTCATCTCCGCACTCCTCTTTACCTCTGGCTTTCATGGCCGACCTCAGCTCCCTCTTGTGCCTCTGCACGCTCCGTGGTTCACCGCTCCACTCGGCCATCACCCTCACCCTCTTCACTTTGGTCTTCCGCTCCGGGAGTGTCGGCGAGCCGTGGGCACTCTGCTCTGAGCCTGACGGGGTTTTGGAGGGGGACACAGACTGACTAGTGGGGCAGCCGGTGTCATCTATTGTAGACAGGTACACACAGACAGTAATAGCCACGAACAGGCAGTGCAGGGCAGGCAGCGAACACAAGCATTCAAGTCAGGGCTCAAGGTTCAGCCAGGGGTGTTATCTGACAGATAGCATAACAACTTTCACAATGGCTCATCACTTCCTTAAAGTATTTATCAAGCAGTGTCTGTGTTGTGGTTGATTTGCACAGTGTACACACATACATGCACACGCACTGTACACGCACAGAGACATTTTTTGCAGTGTAGTATTGGTTGAGGAGGTCAATTCAGGTGAACATAAAATAAACATAGATGCATTTCTGTTAGAGCTTGCATAATTCTGCATGCAAAATACTATCTGAATGAGAGATTCTGCTTTTATCACATAAGGATTTTATGTTTACACAGCCGACCAAGAGCAATGCAATGCAATCTTGCACTTGACGGCCTGTAAATGGAGCTGGTTGTTCATAGTATCTGAGATTTTACATCAGGTATGAACTCAGCTGTCCTTGGACTGGACCTGAACTTCTTACCAGAGCAAAAGCTGTTGGTGCTGATGGTTCTCTTGGAGTGGTCTGAGCTCATGTCACACTCCTTTCCCTCCTCCTCTGAAAAAGGTGAATCGGACAAAGGTGATCCTTTGTCCTTTGGTCGGAAGGGATGCAGGACCAAGCGTGGGATACGACTGCGAGGGCTTCCTTTCTCTGGTGACTTCTTTTCCTGTTCAAAGCAACATCCGTCACAGCTAAAGGCAGGGATATAGTTTTGCAGAAACACACTTTGTTTCATTTTTAATTCCATAAAAGATTGATTATTGGTCATATTGGGGCCTTCTGATGTTAACTGTAAATTCACAGTTTACCTGTCTTTTCCTTTACCATATACCTGAAAAAAGCCAGTCTTATAGTGGCAAAGGATTCAGCATTCATTAAATCTATCACTCATGACCAGTGGCAATCACAAGACTCACCTCATATTCTTGGAACGGTCCCATTGTGCTTCACGTAGCGTTTTCCCCTGTTGAGTGGAAGAGAGGAGAAAAACCAGGTGAGTGTTTTTTCTGTGGACTGTGTATGTGGCAGCATTTTTGACGTGGCACTCAAACCCTCAACAAACAAGGGCCCTCTGTCTGAACTGTGTTACACCACTAAATCCCACCCACTGCCACACACACACACACACACCCTGCCTGGTACAGATGGCATAAGCCTGGAGCCAGACATGACCAACACACACTGAATTTATGACCTTATGAAACAAATTCTATGTGTCACGGCTAAAAATAAACGGCCACAGCCACAGTGCCTTTTTTTAAACCACAATATGTGAAGCCCTTTTAATAATCAACTGGAGACAAATGAGTTTAAGAACAAAAACAGATCGATTACCAAATTCCTTAGGGTTCATCGCCAGGGAAACCATGAAAATTAGCCCAAAATTTCATCACAATCCCTCAAGAAGATGCCGAGATAAATCACTGATTACATGAAACATTTGACCTGCTGGTGGCGCTAGAGGAATATTCAGACCATTACCAAGTCATTAGGGATTATCCTCAAGGGATGTTGAACGACCATATTTCATGACAATCCATCATCTCGTTGTTGAGTTTTTTTCACCCTGAATCACAAATGCCAACCTTATAGTGGCGCTAGAGGAAAAGTCAGGGAATTGACAAAATAATTAGGATACATCACCTGGGGACTGTGAATGTCTGTACAAAATTGCATGTATCTAATAGTTGTTGAGATTTTTAAGGTTGGACCAAAGTAGTGGACGGACCCACAGACTCACATTGCCTCCCCGAGAGACATGATGCTAAAAACAGTAAAAGAGATAAGACAAAAGGGAATATGTGAAAGGAATAGATTTAAAATAAATGAGTTAACTCTCATCTGTACAGATACAACCCTAAAGAAAAAAGATCACTAATATTCTTTTCATATTTTGGCTTTTCATTATCGTCATTACTAATTAAGATGATCCGATATGAAGCACAGAAAGGTGTCTAACTTCACTATATTATTCTGCAAAGCAAAATTTCACTGACTCTTCTTATCAGCCCTCTGTGGCAAAACTGCGGGGCTGCCTGCCAAGAGCTACAAACTGCGTCTATCAGTGAGATACAATGGATGATGGAGCAATATTATATCCTCTTTCAAAAATGGGTTGGAGTAGAAACCAAAGTAGGAATAAACTCTGAACTTTTCATTTTTGACACGCACATTTAAAGAAGAAACATTTTTTATTGATGCTTTAATGCTAAATAATGCAGGTTTACTCTCATGCTTGAATAAACTTTATACAATCACTTCACTTCCTCTCTCCTGTTGATTGCCTTTGAGCATCATCGACTAAGGGGGTCAGTTGCGTAAGCGCATACATGTTTTCCTTTTTTTTTTTTTGCATTAGGAATGATGTAATTGACCCCAGGGCCTGCGTGCTGCTGTCGCATGGATGAGTCTGAACCTGTCTTCCCTCGCTTCATCCAGATGGTACCTTTTTCAAAAAAAAAGTTGACTGGATGAATGTCAGTCTTGCTTTGATCACCTGGTTTCCCCAAACAAACAGAATAATATCACCACTTCATGACCTAATATAAGTCACGTCCCTGTGTGAGCAGCCCAGACTTCCTGCAAAATCCTCTTTCTTCAAACCGCAGAGGACCAGAGAGGATTGCAGAAATAGAACAGAGAGACTTGGGAATCAAACTCCACCTCCTATCATTAGACTCAAAAATAGATCTGAGCTCTAGGTAGTCTGCACCACCTTGCCAACCGTTTCACTTTTCTTTTTGAGTTTCTGCATTCCCACAAACATCACACTGTAGCAATGCTCACAGCTGCCTGGTGCACTGGCACGGCAGAATCACATTATAGGCAGGAACCAGGGCAGAGCAACCAGAGCCGTGCCCTAGCAACAGTCTTAGCAACCGAGGGAAAACGCTGCATGAACAACTCCAGCTCGATGGAACAAATTATGTGTAAATCTGCACAGAGCGTAGCCTCTGCTGTTCATCCTGAGATGCTGAGAAAATATCTAGTGTGTGCTGAGGTGATGAGGGGGAGTGTTCACCATTCAGCTGCACAATGTTTTTCTTAGACTGAATGAATAGTGTGTCCTTGAGTCAGTGTGTGTGAGCTCCAGGAACATCTGTATACTTATTCATGTACTACTGACTTTGTTTGGAGCATATGAATATGATTTATTTTGGAGTTTATATGGAATGTTTTGCCTTTTTTTTTAAAACATGTTCTTGCAAGGAGTCCTATAGAAAAAAGAAAATTAAACAAAGAAAACAAACTGAGGGTATCAGCCATAAAGTCTTGATGATGGATGGTACGAAAATGTTCAGATTTTCTTGAATTGATGATGTGCAAGTATAGTGCAACACGTAGGCAACACATATTTCACAATTCATGTATTTTAATATTCTGTAAACTGCTTTGGCAACATGTTTTTGTTCATGCCAATATTTGAATTGAAAATTGAAAAAAAACCCAAAAACTGATGTCAATGAATGAGAGAGAAATGCTTCAGTAAACAGGGTGTGGTTAAGAGGAGAGAGGGGTGAGAAGGTTTTTAGTTTAGGAAGTGACTTCTATAAATTCATGCAACCACAAGCAGCCATGTGTGGGAAACGCAGGAGGGTCATAACATCAAAACATGAGGAATCACAGATCAGCTAGGCTATAGACTGTAGCATCCCACAGCCAAATCTTTCAAACAGCGTTTTACAATCATCTCATATTATTTGTTACAGTGCAAGACTATCTTCCTTTGCTTATGATCACTCAGTAGTTTGTAACCTGACGGCCTGTGGGGTGTTTGGGTACAGATGCCAGACCATGCATGCTCTAGTAGTGAATTAGATTTTTTTCATCTTAACTTTCTGCCTGTTTTTAATTGTTTTTGCACCTGCACCCATCCTGCACTAGACCCTCTAAAGTAGGATCATGCGTGTGCTCCTCCACTTGACTCCAGACAATGTTGATTGGCTACCTGCTGAGCAACAGACTAAGTATTATCTGAGTTGCAAACACAGGATTTTCAGCTCTCTTAAGCCTAACTGACAGTTAAGCTACCAGTGATCCACAGTGGCTCTGAAAACTCATCCAAACACAAGCCTGGAGGGAGGGAACATACCGATTCAAAAAGTGGCTGTACTGGGAAAGGAAGACTTGTAAAAAAAAAAGCTGCCAGTGGGATGCTGGGAGAATGTGGACATGAGTGGTAAACAAGTCTTTAAGCCTTCACTTGAGCTGTTTCTCTTATCCAGATGGTCTACTTTTAAAACAGCATGGAGTGGGCGTGAATAATAATTCCCTTAATCCATCCCAGTCTACGTGCTTTCTAATGTTGATCATGCACATGGACTAATGTGAGGCTCTCTTTTCCATTTGATATTAACCCCACGATGCACTGAGCCCATTAGTTCTGTTCTAATGTGATTGTTAATGAGGTGTTGAGTATAATTTTAGTGATGATGATGTCTGACTCATGCTGATGAACTCCTAAACCACAGACTGTTGTGCAGCTCTGAAAGGAGTGAACTTATCTGCATGTTTTTTCTTTTTATTATTGCACCATGCAGGACAAAATTCTTCTCCGAAAAACAACTAGTGGCACAGGAGTGGCATGGTAGTCACAATACTTGCTCTGAGCTCAGTGACCCTTATACAAAATGCATCATCATTGCATGATGTCATTACTGGCTAATCTCTTTCACTTTCAGGAATCATTGCAGGGAGCATTAAGCACATTGAAACCAAAACACCATTCATAAAATGGCTTCCTGATAGTACACAAGATCTTTATTAGGTTTGTACCATAGTAAACCACTGTTAACTGCTATGATAATAATAATATAATAACAATAATAATTCTGTATATGTAGCACCACATGATTTCACATAGGAACTTTTAAAACCCTTTAAAATATGTGAAATTCTCACAATAAATTAAACAAGAATTTCAGTCATTAAATGCAACACTGCTCTAAGCAAGGAGCCCTGTGTAATACCCTCACATGTGTTTACATGTTTACATGCCTCCCTTTGTTTAAGGCTTCTCTCTTCAGAGCCATTTTCACTGAGGATTAGGGAAGCCTGGGGGATATTCGTGTCCTGATATCTCTTGCCAGTGACAGCATCTCCTAGCACACTGCCCTCAAACAGCTCATTGTCCATTTTCGTCATGTTGTATCCAGCATTGGGGTTTTGTTTTTGTTTCATCTGGCGCCCCCACAGTTACTGGGAATGTTTTTCTCATGCGCGGGGATGCCTCTAGAATAAAGGCTACAGGGTGTAACCAAAGGCGATGATAACATCAAACTTTAAGCCTGGTGTGGATGGCTTTTACCCAACAGCTCTCAAAACAGGTCTGACTTGTGCAAAATTTCGGATAATTAAAAAAAAAAAAGAAAAAAAAAAAGACTCGCTCCTGAACTTGTAAACAGCTCGTCCTCACCACCAGCCACCTGCTTCTATGCTGCGAATACTTCAGTTTCATTCTTAACACCAAATGGTTGAGTGAGTGTGAAATAAAATGAATAAAATAAATACAAGGCTTGCCTGGGTGTTTGATGGTGATTCCTCGCAGAAGGTGGCGCGTTTATGGGTGAAGCACAAAGGGTCGTTCCGCTGCTGATGCTCCTCCTGGTGCCAGCCTCCGCTCTGCTCTGATGCTGGGATGTGGATGTCGGGTGGAGGAGAGCTGTGAGGACACACACGATTGGACAAGAAGCGAGACCGCTGACAGTGCACGCACAATATGACTATACCATCCCAAGTGTGTTACATAACGCGCGAGGCATTACTTAACCACCTCCATCATATAGAAACATAAGCTGCAGACATGACGAGCCTATGTGTGATCTCTGTCTAAATATGTGTCATCTTTGAGTTCCATCCAAGAGAGATATTAAAACACGACGTAGGCCTCGATGTATTATTCATAAGCACACATTCTAATACATTATAAATAGGTGCTTCTCAATACTTTATACTTTACACTTTACAATACTTTATACTGAAGATTATTTATCCATCATGATGCATAACAGTTTACCATGGATTTATTGAATACAAAATTTTCTACGGATAGATAGATAGATAGATAGATAGATAGATAGATAGATAGATAGATAGATAGATAGATGATAGATAGATAGCCTTATAAAAACCCACTACCCACTGTAGTGTATTATTCACTTCATTTCCTTTTATTTCAACATAGTAAATTGTTGTGTTCTTCTTTTATGTATGTTTTATTCTAAAGTTTAAGGAGGTTGTCAACTAAGGCCTTGTCGAAGGTTACCTTGAACCACTCATTGTAAGTTGAGTTTAAGGAATGTGCCTTAGGAGGTAAAATTGTTTCCCCATTGGTTTTTTGGTAAATACGGTATAAGAGAGTGGGGGTTTTATGTGGGCCTAAAAAAGCCAAAGGCTAGAGACCAGAGGCTGTAGACCAGATCTTATTTACCTTTGGGTGGAGGCTTCTTCTTATTGGAAGAAGTGCACATTCCAAAGGTGGGATAAGACAGATAAATAGAGGGATTTGTGAAACGTTAGAGGAGAGATCTCACATTGGCAGAGATGCTCCAGGATTCGGCATTTTTTGACACTGTTTCTTTCTTGTAAATAAACTTCTTTTTGATTGCAAGTAAAGACGTGTCAGCGGTGATCACTTCTTCACATCAGCACCTCAAGATACCACACCACCAGAACAGCAAAATCAAAAAGACAAAAGCACAATATATAAATGTAAATAATATGTAAAAATGGGAATGAATAATTAAATAGACAAATCAAGTATAGAGCTAGGTGCAAAATGCAACTGCAATGTGCATGACATTGACATGACATTAGGCTAGGCCTCATACATGTTCAACACACACACACAAACACACCCACACAAACACACACACACACACACACACACACACACACACACACACACACACACACACACACACACACACACACGGTGTCTTTGTTTACAGTGATGCACATGAAGCCAAACACACCCTGTCAAACTGCTCTCAGTGTGAGAGCCAGTTGACTCTCCATGGTGCTGAAATCAGGGAGCTGCCGTGGCAGCTGCTCTTGGTCTTATTTATATCCATTTATATTCAGATTCAGCGCCTGCGCAGACGGTAGTTTCTCACAATGACATTTGCAGATTAAGAAAAAAAGAAAGAAAACATACAAAAAAACCCCCCCAAAAACCAACATAATAAAAAGGTACACAGCGTTTGCCAGATCAAATCCGCCACTCACTGGAAACAGGTGCAGGAACCAGACAGACTTGAAACATGTCAGGATTAAACAGTGTCATGTGTCTCTGTGAAACAACCTGTGTGATGTTTAATCTCGCCCTGGCTTTACAGGTGGTCATGCTTAACAACTGCGTCAAACTGAGGAAGCAATGGAAAGTGTTAGCAAGTGACCCATGAGCGGCAGTTTGTCGCCCTCTGCTGGAGAAACAACACACTGTCACTCAGTGTGCTGCAGGTCAACGAACCCACAGGCACTGACATTAAAATCCCTTCACTGTGACCTGGGCTACTGTAGCGTACTGCAATGTAATATGTTTTTTTGTGGTGTAGGCTACCACACTACAAACACGAACAGAGACTAAATGCATAGCTTCATCTCCCAGAACTATACTTTTTTTAATCTGCTTTTACTATACCTTCATCTGTTGCTAGTGCATTTTTAACTGCTGTTGCCCTGTAGGATAATTCGATGTCCACCACATCAGCACTTTATTACTAAAACTGACATGCTGCACTATTTGTTATGTCCTAGTCTACTGTTATATCAATTGTGTCTATTTATGTTTGTATGTTTATATTCTATATTTATATATATTTTTATATGGCTGCACGTTGAGCCAGGATGCTGTACATTCTACAGTTGTATGGTCTGAATGGCAATAAAGTTCACTTTGACTTTGACTTTGACTTTGACTATGACTTCATGGATGTAATGTGATTAATTATCCAAACTTTCATTATCTAAATGTATCACAGTTCACATCAAACAGGCTCAATCATGCCTGTATCAAGTGTCACAGTCCTCCACGCCCATCTGATATACATGCCAAACTAATCATTTAATCTTTTTTCATATTACAATGACCTTTGATCTGCCTTATTGTGCCTTGTTTCATGACATATCCCACTGAAAACAATGAGTCTGTCAGATAAGATGAAAAGTCTCTTTTGGTGAAAATAGCAAACAAAATAAATGAGCACCACATGGCCTGTAATGGCAAATGACTGGATTAGTTACAGATTTTTTTTTGATATGGTAAGATTTAGTTACAAACCCTCCTTATCAGGACTAATGTAGCCTAATAGACGAGATTTAAACCATGTGAATGTGGGAGCTCTGGATTATAGCCTACTGCAAAAGCTGAAGCTTTTCAATATAGTCACGAAGCCAGATTTTCCCAGATTACATGAAAGCAGCATTTGTCTTCGTTTCTTCATACAAGGGAGACATCGCGTTGTGATGAACTTCGATGGCCACTAGAGGTCACTAGTGTTATTCCTAATGCGTTTAATGCGTTTGACTCACTCCACATCCAGACTAAATGTTTTGGGTTTACTGTGTTCACACCTCTAGGCTGCTTTTAAATGCGACACCTCTGACCTCATCTTATTTAAACACGTCTTTCCTCTCCTCCTCACCACTGAACACAATCATCATCCGCTCAACACAAAGTCAACCACTGAAAGTCCATCTGCCTTGGTATTTTTTTCATTCATCTCATATTATTGAATTTATTATTACACTGAAATCTTTCATCGAATAACGTTTCGAAATCCAAGATGTTCCTTTAAAAGAAAAAGTCAACTTTACGATCACCTTGTGTGTTGAGTTTATCTGTGCGTAAAATCTCATCTAATCTGATCTGATGTGTCCTTGGAAGATTCCAGGCTGTCAGACACTGTGATAAGGAGAACTACAACTCTCTTCGGTTTCTTCTATAAATCCTTCAAAGAAACAAAAATGACTGGAGTTTAATTTCCTCATAATTTTATTCACATAATAATATCAAAATTCAATTGAAGCAATTGTTTAAATTAGAGTAAATGATTGTTCTCTGTGGACAGTGCAGCCAGATCAGCGACTGGCTGCTAAACCAACAACAACAACAGAAAACTTTCCCACAAGCACTCTCGTGTCTTTATCTCGTGGCGGCCCGCTGGCTCTAGTGCTCGTCTGTTTGCAGGTCTGTGACATGAAATCGTTTGGGAAGCCGTGCACTGAACGACCATGTGGGCGTGTTTCTGTCGGCCCAACAGTCTCCGCTCTTGTGTGGAGTCCAGAGCGCAAAACGCACTTCTTCTGGTGCGACCAGAGAGCGCAAAAGTAGCAGCTCTCCGACCCTGACGCGCACACCATCTCCGGCTCCGGCGGCTCACCCCCCGAATCCAACTTCACTGAGCGGGGTTAAAAAAAAAAAAAAAAAAAAAAAAAGCGAGAGAGTTTCTTAACATCTCCCGGTTACTCTTCCAGCCATGGACGCATCTCGAGTGGTAACGCTATATCTGGGCCTGCTCCTTGTTTTCCTTGGGAATATACCGTGTTTCCAGTCTGCTGCTATCATCTCTCCCTCTGCGCCGAGGAGGAACAGGGGAGCCGGGATTCCACATCGGGACGGACAAAGGTCATCCAAATTCTTAAAAGATATCATCGCGTCTTCGCATCCTGTCGTGGGCCATCACAAAGAAGACCTAAAGGACGCTATTGTGCCGCATGAATACATGCTCTCCATATACAGGACATACTCGGCTGCAGAGAAGCTCGGACTAAACGCAAGCTTTTTCCGCTCCTCTAAATCTGCCAACACCATAACAAGTTTTGTGGACAGAGGAACAGGTTGGTTTCTATCCGCTGCTTCCTCCATCAGCTCAGTCTTGCATAATTCTGTGGCACAGTTTTTCCTCAACTGGCTGCTCCAGTATTCTCCTCTTAGATCCTGTTAAAATATGAACAAAAATAACTAGTGTAAGGCGTAAAAACCACAGAGCAACAAGTTCACAGTGGCTACCTTTACGCACGTTTTAAATCAGGCTCAGGAAAATGTGCAAATGCTCTTTTATACGAGCACAAAATATCAATAAATCAAAGGCATAATTGTTAAAAGGAAAATTCGGAAGCTGCAGGATTAGTAGCGAGCAGTGGTCTAAGTTTCCTTAAAATCTTTTCGCCGAAAGGTGTAATTTTTTCCGAATATTAAGTTATATTACACTTAAATTAACCTCTGGGTAACACGACAGTAAAACACTAATTGAGGCGCTCTCTAAATGAAGGCTGTAAATCACTGTCAGTGCAGGCTGCAGCAGAACTATTCCGCTCCCAACCTCCACGTGAATAGGGAGGAAAGTTTTTTTTTTTTCACTCAGGATATTAAAGCAGGTTGTTGCTGCTTGTTTCATTTTCGATTTTTCATTGGTCTCTAAACTCAAACACTGTGACACGAGGCCATATTCTAAAGTATAAAGGGAAAGTTTAATCCCAAACCAAACACTTGTTAAAAAAAAAAAAGAAAAAAAAAAAAGGAAGAAGTTCAATCTGTTGCCGTCATGGTGCCCAGTATGTCCAACTTGTGCTGACAAAGGGAGCTGAGGGGGCCAGGGGCAGAGCTGGCCGGTGTGAGAAGCAGGTGTTTGGGTCAGTTAACATGTGTAACCAAGTGATTTGACCGGCCTGCGAGGACAAACACACTCTGATAAACACAAACACATCCAACACACACAAGGGGACATAAGCCGAGTTAATCTTTGCAGGAGAAATAAAAGCTATCTTTGTTTGCTTCCCCTCCTGTCTCAAACACTCCGAGCCTCGGCTCTGGGACGCAGAGTGCGCGCTGCAAAAAATGTCCATCGCGATGAGCTGTGGAGTCCAGAGTCGGCTGGTTCAAACCTGTTGTTGTTATTATTCACGGATGCAGTGAGGTGAAGTTTCGCTTATTTCAAGTGCAGTTCAAATTTTTCCAAGATTTATATTTAATGAAGTGTAATTTTAAGTACAGTGACGAAGATTTGGCACCTTTCCCTCTAAATATGTGACGTTCTCGCGCACATTTGCTCCTTTTCAGACAGAAAAAGACTTTTAAAGAGTGAAAACAAAACTGAGTGCTTCATCCGTGTGGCCACTTCTTGCAGTGTGAACTGATTTGATAGGAAAAACGCCTCACTCTCTCCTATGATTTTGATGTGATGTGTCACTGGCTCTGACCCCGAGCTGGACCCTCTGAGAGCTGCTTGGCATCGAACGGCTGATTGGAGTATTTGAACTCGGTGATCTAATTGAGTGTTCATGTCATAACATATCAAACACTGTCTATTCTCCCATAATGACCCAGCTCGGCCACGATGGGCACATCACCAAAAAACGACGAGGGAGGAAAAAAACACAGAAAGAGCACTTCCTCTGCTGTGAAGTGGCTCATATTTTTTTTTCTTTACTGCGGAACCTCACTTTGCGAACGCCACTTTAATTACGGAAATTTTTTTTTTTCTTCCCGTTGTCTCAGCTCAAGCGCCTTTGGTTTCTTTTGGGATTCCTCCCAGCGTCCCGTAAGTGTTGCACTGCATTAACCTGAAGGATGGACCTCAGCTCAGTCACCTCAGTGATTTGAATCGCCTCCATCAGGGAAGAAATGCACACGGGAGCAGCTTTTGACGCGTAAAGTAACAGGTTTTGCGTCTTTTACGCATTATTCATCCACGCGGAGACAGGTTTTACTGACTGCACCTATATGATCTACGGCTTCTTTGGCTTTCACACTTTTGTAGGTAAATGGAATTTGCTTATAAAAGCAGACGGGGTGTTTCCTGAAGGTCAGAAAAGGCAAGATCAGAAAAGAATAACCCCAATCTGAAAATTACTTTTGGCACTTGGGGTAACTCATTAAAGCGCAGATGGTGCAGCCCGGCCTCTCTCTCTCTCTCTCTCTCTCTCTACACCCCCCACCCCCCTCCCTCTAAACAGAGGCATAGATGACAAAAACATGTTATGCGTTTTTTTTTCTAATACAGCCAACAAGGTCAAACTAAAGTGCACAGGATGCTGCTTTAACCAAGCAATAATCATAAAAAAAAAAAAATCAAACACGTTCTCCACCAATTATCCACCGTCAAGTATTCCAGCGTAATGGAAAAAATTAGCTTTTTACATAATAATGAAATTAAGAAAGCTTTCTCCATTTTTAACTGTCAACACGAATATTATCTCCCAGTAATATCCACAGTCTGCTCGGTCCGTGCAGGCGCACTTAAAGGGGAATGTTGTCGTTGGCAGGATGAGATGAAATATAAGAGGGGAAGTGCTTTAATGAGGAAGATGGGAATTGAGAACTGTTAATTATTTGGTGAACTTGTATTCGATTTGTTTGAGGTCTTATAAAAAACAGAAACCTAATGTAGACCATACGCGCAGAGTCGCTGAAACGAGCACAAGGTTTCAATCTGCTTTTACTGTTTGACTCGGCAGGGTTCACGGAGGGAAACTGACAACCAGACTCAAATGTCTCCTCACAGCAAGTTTTACTAATGATATCACAGGGATGTTGAGGTGTAGACATGTCACTTTTATTATTATTATTATTATTATTGTTGTTTTTAATCTTCAGACAGAAATGAGACAATCAACAGAGGCGATGAGCTTTTATTTTTTTAAGAAACATCACACATCAACCATCACAACGAGAAATTAAATTCAGCTTTTAGATTTAAATCCTTTTTTTTTCCTTTTCTTTTTCTTTTTTTTTTTTTTTACAATGATTTGACATTTAAACAGAAAAGATTTCACTTGTTCCCCACGCAAATGAACTTGTCTCAGGAGTTTTCTTGAATTTAACCTACTTTTCTTGTTAAATTCTGCCTTTTCTCAAACTACTGACTCTCGTTTTGGGAAAATTGTCAAAAATAGAGGAAAACCGCAGGAAATGAGAGAATGATTTCATCCCCTTTGTTCATGAAAAAAAAGTGATTTAAATTGGAAAATGATACAAACTACTTTTTTTGCACTAAAAGAATGAAGTAGGAAACATGTATCCATAGTTTAAAAATGTCTAAGCTGCAGCCTGATATTCGTGATAATATGATGATAAACATAAATCATTCTGATCTGAAATTGATTTTAAGAAGCACAGAAAACACTCGGGGAGATTTGTACTCAATCTCTGTTTGATGCATCGTCTCTGTGTTATATTCCAGTCTCATTGGTTCGCCGTGATGAAATGTTTGCAGGCCTCCTGGGTCTCCAGCAGGGAATAATGCATTAATTGTGTATTGTTCAGTTGAGTGTACAGTATGTCGCCTTTGGTCCGTTGTGTCTGGCAGCACCCAGGGGCCTTCACATCACTAGGCCCCTTGTTTTTTCTCTCTGTCTTTGCTTTACTACTCTGCAAGAGGTCTAAGAAAAAGAAAACGTAGCCTACCACACATTTCTGAGTGCTGCGTAGATTTAAGACTTTCTGAAGCTACAAAAAAAAAAAAAAAAAAAAAAGGAAAAGTTGACTTCCACTCTGCCAAAGTGGTGGAAATTAATAATCAGTCTGTCATCAAGTAAAATGAAAGCAGAAATATTTTCATTAAGACTCTCTGGATTTGATTAAAAGTGGCGTGGAATTAAAACATCGCCAGATTTTATTGGATTGTTGTTGCTGCAATGTCAAAAAAAAAGAAAAAAAAAAAGAAACTTTGACCTATATGACAGATGATTAAAAAAAGAAACATGTCATTCTATAATGTTTTTGAAACAAGCGAGAGTCTATACTTCCTGCATATGACATGGAGTTTGTTTGCTTTGCATCTTAATATGATTTCAAACAAATTTTTGCAGGAAATGAAATGAAGAAACTTGAGGAACAACAGTTCTCAGGAGGAAGCCTCGGAGCAGGCTCTGTAAACTCAACCCTCATTTAACCTTCAGCATCAGAGAAGATGCACAAGATTTTATTATCAGGAGTATAATGTGTCTACTGTGTAATCAAATCAAAGTGAACCAGAGGAAAATGGTCAGAGTGGGCTTATGGGTAGTTGATAATATGTGGAGGATGGAGGTGGGATAAGCAACAACAAACGTGGTGTTAACTGTGAGGTTGTTTCATTACCGTCCAAACTGAGGACTTGTCAGCTGTGGTTTGTTTCAGGCAGGTTCAGGGTGGACATTTGAAAAACAAGAAAGAGAGGAAGAGAGAGGGAGAGAGAGGTGGGGGTGGGGGTGTGTGTGTGTGGGGGTAGGGGTGGGGTGGGGGGGGAAGGCCTCTGTGGGAGAATGTGAGTCCCCCTCCCTCCCTCCATCCCTCTGAACACTGTACACCCTAAGTGAATCTGACTGCAATTATTTTCTTCTTTTATCCTTGCAGACGATCTTTTGCACTCTCCTCTGCGAAGACAAAAGTATCTGTTTGATGTCTCAACCCTTTCAGACAAAGAGGAGCTGGTCGGGGCGGAATTAAGGATATTCAGGAGAGCGCCCGGGGATTTGCAGACTTCCCTGCAGACGACGGGCCTCTACGACATCCAGCTCTACCCCTGCCGCTCGGACAGGCTGCTGGACTCCAGGTCTCTGGACCCGCTGGACTCCACTAAAGCCGGCTGGGAGGTTATGGACGTGTGGGAAATGTTTAAAGCACACCAGCATCATTATCACCACCCTCATCATCATCATCATCATCATCATCACCATCATCACTATCAGCAGGGGAGCCAGCTCTGCTTCCAGCTCAGGGTCACTCTTGGCAAATCAGACACCGAGGTGGACCTGAGGCAGCTGGGGCTGGACAGGAGCGGCCGGTCCCAGCAGGAGAAGGCCATCCTGGTGGCCTACACCCGCTCCAAGAAGAGGGAGAACCTGTTCAACGAGATGAAGGAGAAGATCAAGTCGCGGAGGTCGGTGGGTGAGAAGGAGGAAGCGGCGGCGGTGGTGAAGGCTGCAGAGGAGGAGGGGGTGTCGCTGAGGGGGGTTAGAGGAGAGGGGCCCCGCCGTCGGCGGCGGACCGCGCTGAGCAACAGGCACGGGAAGAGGCACGGGAAGAAATCAAAATCCAGGTGCAGCAAAAAGGCGCTGCATGTGAATTTCAAAGAGCTGGGCTGGGACGACTGGATCATCGCGCCCCTGGATTACGAGGCGTACCACTGCGAGGGGGTGTGCGACTTCCCCCTCAGGTCGCACCTCGAACCGACCAACCACGCCATCATACAGACGCTCATGAACTCCATGGACCCGAACAGCACCCCGCCCAGCTGCTGCGTCCCCACCAAACTCAGCCCCATCAGCATCCTGTATATAGACTCGGGCAATAACGTGGTGTACAAACAGTACGAGGACATGGTGGTGGAGCAGTGTGGGTGCAGGTAGCGGCCATTATTTTGTTTAAAAAAAAAACAAACAAACTTAAAGAGACAGAAAAAAATCAAAGATATGTCTTGATGGGTCCCAGGTTGAAGATATAAAGTCCTCACAGGTCTGAAATGCTTTTGACGCATGACGCACGAGTCTTTATTCAAAAGGGATGCACACAAGAGGCGATATCTGCTATTTATTCAGACTCAGTACAGTCACATGAATTTACACTCTCTGCCTTAAAGTGTTACGCACATGCATTCCCATCCACGCAACAAGTTATCACTCATCAAACAGGCTTTTGTTTCCCGGAGTGAGACGCGTCCATATGGCACAAGGATTGGGAACACGGTGTGTGTGTGTGTGTGTGTGTGTGTGTGTGTGTGTGTGTGTGATAGCGGTGTGTTGTGTGTGTGTGTGTGCGCGCGCTCTGGCTGAAGGCGAGATGGGAGCCTATTGAGTCCAAACTGTGCACCTGTTCGTGCCGAGGCCAGAGGACACTGGGCTTTGCCTGTGAGCGCTTTGTTGCAACTCTGCCGTGTGATCCTGCCAGGCCGGATTCTTTTGGGTATGTGCATCCAGGCTGTAATTGCCACTGTCCAGCTGGAGTCATTACAGGCCCGAGCAAGTGCCTGTTTTCCAAATATAAATAAATAAATGAATAATTAAAAAATAAAAATAAAAAAAAGTTAAATAATAAATAAATAGAGGGGGTGAATGTCTAATCTACCAAACACAAACACGCACACACGCACACACACACACACACACACACACACACTGGTCTGATGAGAGGAGATAAGATGGTGGTGGTGATGCCTTCAAGAGATTTTTTTTTTTTTTTTTTTTTTTTTTTTTTTTTTTGCCTTACTGGAGACCGGTTGACAGGCGCTGGGAGATGCGTCGTGCGCCTTTGCGGACAGAGAAGGACACAAAACCAGACTTGTGTTGTGCCTGAGTGGGGCCCTGTTGTAAAGAAAAAAAAAATAGAAAGCACACATTACTGAGGCGAACTTTTTGCTCAAAAGTCTGCATCTTTACGAAATGCACTTCCACAACTGACTGCGCCAAGGACACGCGGTCAGCGAGAAAGTTTGTCCTCTCTGACGACGAAAAGATTAAGAAAAGACTCGCAAACGAGACGATATTTAAATGCACATTAGCTTTGAATGCACTGCTGTTCATTATTTTTTTTTTCTTGTTTTTGGAGCTGTAAATATTTGTACAGTCGAAAACTTTACAAAGTGCAAGGAATGAAGAAATGAGAAAACGGCATTTCTTTGTAAATATACAAAATGCACTCAAATCGGTATAATTTCTATTCTATAATTATTTTATTATTTGTGATGTACAGAGTTTCATGATAATCATATATTTCTTACATTGATAAGAGTAATTTAAGGTGTATTCGATTTTTTTTTTTGCAGAGGGTGGAAAATACCATTATTAATGTCTACCTCATAATTGCATATAGGATCTGAGTTTTGAGGTGCATTCAGTTAGAGTGTAAAGAGCTTTTACAATGATATATAAGATCATTTATATACATATATTACTGGATAATATTCCACACCATTACTGTACAAATAAAACTGAAAACAAAGTCCACCAGCCTGGAACTTCTGATGATTAATTCCACCCTGTTTCCATTCATTTCATTCATTTTCAAGAGGGTTTGACTTCCCTAAAAAACACAAAAATGTAATGGGAACATTGTATGGTATTTCCTTAAGCCAGTGACTTTTTATTTTCATTCATGGATTAATCAAATGAAAAAAGGGGCCACATCACTGATGTTTTTAAACCTATGAGCCTACAACCATACTCACCCAAAATTATGATATTTTCTTCTTTGACATTGATTAAATATGATGAAATTACATCAGTATCTTGGTTCAAGATGATACAGAATGAAAAAAATTGAGGAGAAATACTATACTGTGCCAGTTTTAGACAACTGTAGTTATAGTGACTTTTTAATCTTTTTTTCTCCTGTGAATCAAAATCAACTCCAGAATCCCTCAGTAAGCTGTATACAGTGCATATGGAGCACATATACCTTTGCCTTTAGGTATGCTAAAGCTAATCTGTTCTCCCCCTTTGTAAACAGTCTCATCATAGCATACAAATGTCACTATAGTCAGTGACTGGCTGCAGGATTGAACCACAAAAACCATATAAACATATGGTGACCATCCACGTAGAAGGGAATCCACCGACTGACTGTCACTGATATGGCACTGAATGTACGAACCCCAGCTATTTCCCAATGAAGTAGCCCCGCCTGGGTCAAGTTTACTTAACACTTTAATGTTTCCCAATCTGTGGATGAGAAAAAAAAAAAAAGTTTGAAAGAAGGGATTGCTTCCATATAGGCTATCGACCTTGGCCTGGAAACAATTAGGAAATTGCTTTGAAATGTTATATGTTGTCCAGGCTCTTGTACAGTATCATGTCACTCCCCACATGTTTGCTAGGGGGAAACAGAGGATGCTAAGTGCACTCTTTAGCAGTCACCACAAACGACTGACACAACAACCCTTCCCTTGAGTATAACCAAATGGCCCTCCAGGCTATATGTCTGGGACACCATCGCCGGGGATGCGTCCGCGAGCCCTCCTGCTCACAAGTGCACTTTGGGAGATATGCACCACCACGAGTCTGTTTTTTCAGTGCCAGAGATGAGTGATTCTGGATTAGAAAAGCAACTGCGCGGCAACCCGTGAGATAAAGCTTTACTTTTTTGATTTATATTTATTTGACAAGCTCCCCGGTCTGTTGGGCACTGGCCTGGAGGTGAGGCTGAATGTTAGGGGAACAGTTAAATGGTGATGAAAGGGAAAGGAATGCTTTGTTTACCCGCTTCAATCCCTCACTCTCAAGTTAAATGTTCTAATAAAGTTCTTCATCACAACCGCCTTATTGTCCCTCCACTCCACACCGAGGCCGAGAGACCCAGACAAAAAAAAAAAAAAAAAAAAAAAAAAAAAAAAAAAAAAGAGTTGTGTTTATTTGAAACTTGCTCCTAATATATTAGTCTAAGCGAACCGAAAATGGCAAAGAGATGGGCCCTTTTCATCAGAAATGTGGAGAATGTATAACACAAATAGTCCTGACACCCCACATCTGTGTGTGGAGGCTCCTCTTCAGGGCTCTGTAGGGCTGTGTAAGTGAAGATCTACTAGGTGTTGCTTTGAGTGGAAAGCCCGGGAGTGTCTGCAAGATAAAAAAAAAAAACAAAAAAAAAAAAACCGTCTTGGCTCGTACAGAGACATAGATGTTCCTCATACTCAACCCCTCTGTTATCAGTGATGTCCTCATCAGTGACAGGAAAGGCATAAATCACACTGATCTCTCAGGCAGCGGGGACCTCTAAGAAAGCAGAAATTTGTTAACCGGGAAGGAGCATTAGAAAATTTATTGTGAGGACTTAGGGCTTGTGCTTTGATTTGTTGGATGGATGCAATTTAAATGAAGAAAAGGGGAAGAGAAAAGAGGAGCTTGGTCACTGCCAAGGCCTGACTTTTTAGCTGCTACTGATAAATTCCAGCAAGCGGCTTATTATTTATTTGTCATTGGCTGTTTCTCCGCTCACACATTTTGTTTTGCCTCTAGAGGAGCCCCTCCTTCTCCGGTTTCCTCTAGTTCCCACCACTCTGCTTTAGCGGATACTGCGGTTTTGCTTCAATAATGAAGCTGGACACCTCTCTCCAGCCAAGAACGCAGGCCAGGGCAAGGTGGTGCTTCTCTGAGCTAAACAGACGCACAATAAAAACACTCTTCCAGACTCTACAGTATCCGATGTGTGCATTTGCATTATTAGAGGAGTGTGTATTTCTGTGTGCATGTGCGTGTCTGTGAGTGTGTATCAGTGGACAGAAGGGCCGCAGCGTACACAGATGGACAGATGAGTGGTGCAGGAGAGCAGCAGATGCCTGAAGTGACCCCTACTGCTGCCTTTCATTGAACCACTGGCTTCAACACAAAGGCAGGGGCGGCCCCAAACATTAAATACACTTGCTTGTGCCTTAATGCCAGAGGTCACTACTTTTTTTTCAACCCCCCCCCCCCCTTGTATTCATTTTCTTGAACTCCTTTTGAAACGAACAAAAACGTGTTTTGTGAAAAGTTTGAAATAATTTGCCAAACGAGAAGCAAAACTGTAAAACAAAATGCAGGTGGCTCTTGGTACTGTTGTCGAAGTGGGGGACAGATAATAAACCCCAGACAGAGCAGCCATAGTGTAACAAAAGACCTGGGTGTTTTTCCTCTGAGGGGGCATCTGCCTGTCTTTTCCTCTGCTTCTTCCTCTGTGGCCTTACAGAAAGCCATCCCTCCCTCCTGTCAGACCATACGGTAACAGGAAGACAGAAGACACCTCCACTTCACCACAGATAACCTGCTAATTGCATTAAACTCACTCCCAACTGTGCTTTTGAAACATGAGGATGAAGCCAAAGTAGCTTATATCAACCGTGCTGGAAACCACACTTTCACGTGCTTTTCCGTTTATGGTTTTTGTATCTTAGAAACTCCACAGATACGACATTGAATGTATTTAAAAACTCAGGAAACATCAAAAACTAAAGTCAACTAGATATATTTGCTTGGAATACCTGTCCAGAGAAGTCCATTTTTCTTCTGTTTATTTTCTAAAGGAATGTCTGAGGGTGCCCTTTCACCCCTCCTCATCCATTTACTGCCCCTGGTCTATGTTACAGATGGTGACCCGGGTCCTCGCCATCCCTGATTAACAAGCACACCTTCAGATTCTCCTGCAAATCTCTGCAGAAAGGAAGATTGTCCTTTTTTTGTGTCCTTGTAGTCCATCTTTTTTTTGTGTATCTGTGTGCTTGTCTGAGGGTCTGAATGAGCTTGAGTCAAAAGTAAATTTACTCAGTTAACTCTGACAATGCTTATGTTTGGGAGCAAGGCAAGGACGTGACCTCGCTGCCAATTCACATCCGCAGAGGCTTGTGTAGAGGAGAGGGAGGGTCGTTGACCAATAGTGGCTG